TAATATGAAACCTTGAGGTACTCCCAGTCTATGCAATAACGAACTAAAAATCTCAGAATTCAGTGAGAGAGTATGTAAACGTTTATTTAGTTAATTATATGTATAAAAGTGACGGCATTTAAATTGAACCCAAAGAAAAAACTTTCTAGTCGTGCTCCAAGGTATGAAACGCCTTACTAAAATGTAATGAGGTGAGTTTATTTTATATGATACTACTTTTAAAGATAGTGTCAATTGTAACTGTTACTTATTGCTGTTAATAAATGTCTACTGGCCAAAATATTGCATTGTATCTACTGGTACAGAACTAACTTGATTTTAGCTCTTTACTGTATTGTGGAGACGACACTAATTGTAAAAAGATTTCGCAATGTTGCCAATATAAATCGAACCAGAATTTAGTTGCTTACCAAATTTTATTGTTTAAATTTAGTTGGTATCAATTGAGTTTCACGAGTTTCTGGTGGAGGTAAAATAACCTCACTTTAAATAAGGTTCGTTTGTTTATTTTTTAATAGTTTATGGATTATAGCACAGCCTCCTACAGTTACGTGGATTATAGAAAACTTAAGGAAAGTGCCATTCGTTCACAATTTTATTTGTTTTGTTTTTTTTATAGCTACATAGATTATAATGACTCCGACTTACATATCGTATATTTTTTATCATTGAGATTTTTTTCTTTTTGTTTCCACATTTTACTATGTATTTTGAATGTAAGACAAACATAAATATTGTTTATATATTTTTTTAATTTCCGCATCTACACTCTACGTCTTGAGTATATTGATTTATATTTTGTATAATTTTTACCAAATGTTATTGCCTTTGTTTACATACAATGGCTTTTCTATTACCATCAGAAAAATTCATTAGTAAACATTTTGTATAACAATAAGTCTAGAATTTCTCTAAATGAATCTAAATAAAAATCTAACTATTATAAGTCTTTTAAATTGCATTTAATATTACTTTTCTTAAAAAAATGCAGTGGTATTATCAGCCAGGGGTTGATTGTTGTGAAATCATTGTCAAACTGCAACTACTAACCCTTCTGATCTATTCATCTGCACTGCCCTCTCATTTTTTCTTCATCGACCTTTTAATTCCTGATACCGCACATTTGTTGTTTTACATTTACATTTTTAGGTATATATTAAGATAATCATTAAGGAATATTGCCACGGTAAAAAAAATATACCTTGTGTATTCTTTCTAACCTAAAAAAAATATTTTGGTGTTGATTAAAATATTCGCTCAATATTTCAGTCAACGTTTTTAGTCTTTAATACTTATTGCACCAATTCACTTACCTTTAATAAACCTATTTAGCAAAATAAACTAAACAATATAATACTATTATAACTTGGTAAAAGTTAGTAGTTTAGCAGATGACTTTTTGTGATTTTAAAATTAGTATTTGTAGAAAATATATGATCGTGACATACAATTAATTTTACGTTACATTTACATAAAAAAACAAGAAAAAGTACCACAAAATTTTACGCTTAATTTATTATTATTGGGTGTCATTTTATTACTTTAGTATTATTTTATTTAATGAGAACTACCTACAAAGTATTTTAAATTTTCCCGCGACACCACTTTGACATTAAACTAACTTTGGTAAGTAACTAGATATGTTAAGTTGGCAACGCTGCGAAATCTTGTTACAATTAGTGTCGTCTGTATTGTGGGTGTAATCAATATTGGCCACAAAGTAGTTGTATCCCACAAACTTTGTTTCGCCCAATACGACGCTAGTCTTACTTTTATAGTACCGACCGATTTGCAGGTAGCTCTCTGCTAATAGGCATTAGCGGTAACAATTAAGAAATGATACACTTTATAGGTTATGTCTCACTCACAAATTCGATTAGTTTTCGATGTACAGAGGATTTGTAGGATTTTTTCAATTTTCATTGGGTACTGTGTCTCAGATATTGTAAAAGATACAAGAAATTAATTGTTGAAACGGCCTACTAAGATTAAGCTCTGTGTGTTTTTGTTTAGTTTCAATCATATAATGTAAATGTAAAAAATTTAGAAAAATCTGTCTCTCAAAAACCACTAAAAATGTGGATGTACTTCAAAATGCTGAAAATTCTTCAAAAGCATCGAAATATTTAAGTATGTTGTACATTAAAATACCTCGAAACCCTTCTATATAATTCTAATTACAACCAAATACGGCGATAACCTCAAACTATCAAAGTAAAATTCCTGGAAATACTTCGAAATCGTAAACACATCAGCAGATCAATCTCAATAACCGCGTAAAAGGACAATGTCAGGGGAGCAAAGGTCGATATCCTTAGACACCCAGAATCATCGATATTTTTAACCCCTTTGTCAGTGACATCGTGCCAAACATGCCAAACAAGGTATCGGTATCGACAATATGTACAGAGAAAAATTCAGACGTTTAGCAAAAAGGTTTATAAAATGTCACTTTTGATAGGCAGATTAAACATTGTTTTATTCTATAGATAATCGACGGTATTTGGGTTAAGCTGGTAGATTTCCTTCCACAACTGCATCCTCTCTGGTTCAGGATTAACTTGATTGGTCAGTTCACTTCCAATGTCGATAAAATTAAGTTGTCCTTTTTCGGCTGGCTTCCATGTTATTCCAAGTTCCTTTTCGTCAGGCGTAGGATTTCCGTACTTGGCAAAGTTCGTCCACAGCTTCACAAACCTCCTTACTGATATGTCCTCGATACTACCTGGTTGGAATGGAGGAGTAATCACGTTTTTGAAGAGGTACCCTAGGTCGTCAGCGTGACAAGCACCTAAAATATTTGCATTTGTTATTTTAAATAAGTTGACTACAGAAAAACTCATATTGAATAACTTTTCTTCACTTAAAAGTAATTACCTACTACATTTTTCTCAAAATTATTCTTTACTGATCCGGAAGAGTATGATGGTTCAATAATTTGTATGAGAGATAATAAATTCGCATTTTATCATTTACCTGGATTAGTTAGTTTTGTGTAAAGCTTCATTAGATTTAGTCCAGCATCTAGGGACATCCTATATAAGTAAACTGGACACCGCGATGTTTCCGCGTGATTTTTCGCTGATGCTATGATTCCTGCCACGAACAGTGAGTCGGTAGACATCTTAAAAAAATTGTAATATTGTTAAATTACGAAATATTTAATATTGTTAGTATTACAATATAATTGTTTGTGTAGGACATGTCGTGTGCTGACACTTTTTATGACAAGCAATTGCTTAAATAAGTTCTAAACATAATAATTAAATAATACTAAAGTGAAGTAATTGTTGTAAAATGTTTCATCCTAAATATTGTTTATATATTTTTTTAATTTCCGCATCTACACTCTACGTCTTGAGTATATTGATTTATATTTTGTATAATTTTTACCAAATGTTATTGCCTTTGTTTACATACAATGGCTTTTCTATTACCATCAGAAAAATTCATTAGTAAACATTTTGTATAACAATAAGTCTAGAATTTCTCTAAATGAATCTAAATAAAAATCTAACTATTATAAGTCTTTTAAATTGCATTTAATATTACTTTTCTTAAAAAAATGCAGTGGTATTATCAGCCAGGGGTTGATTGTTGTGAAATCATTGTCAAACTGCAACTACTAACCCTTCTGATCTATTCATCTGCACTGCCCTCTCATTTTTTCTTCATCGACCTTTTAATTCCTGATACCGCACATTTGTTGTTTTACATTAACATTTTTAGGTATATATTAAGAAAATCATTAAGGAATATTGCCACGGTAAAAAAAATATACCTTGAGTATTCTTTCTAACCTAAAAAAAATATTTTGGTGTTGATTAAAATATTCGCTCAATATTTCAGTCAACGTTTTTAGTCTTTAATACTTATTGCACCAATTCACTTACCTTTAATAAACCTATTTAGCAAAATAAACTAAACAATATAATACTATTATAACTTGGTAAAAGTTAGTAGTTTAGCAGATGACTTTTTGTGATTTTAAAATTAGTATTTGTAGAAAATATATGATCGTGACATACAATTAATTTTACGTTACATTTACATAAAAAAACAAGAAAAAGTACCACAAAATTTTACGCTTAATTTATTATTATTGGGTGTCATTTTATTACTTTAGTATTATTTTATTTAATGAGAACTACCTACAAAGTATTTTAAATTTTCCCGCGACACCACTTTGACATTAAACTAACTTTGGTAAGTAACTAGATATGTTAAGTTGGCAACGCTGCGAAATCTTGTTACAATTAGTGTCGTCTGTATTGTGGGTGTAATCAATATTGGCCACAAAGTAGTTGTATCCCACAAACTTTGTTTCGCCCAATACGACGCTAGTCTTACTTTTATAGTACCGACCGATTTGCAGGTAGCTCTCTGCTAATAGGCATTAGCGGTAACAATTAAGAAATGATACACTTTATAGGTTATGTCTCACTCACAAATTCGATTAGTTTTCGATGTACAGAGGATTTGTAGGATTTTTTCAATTTTCATTGGGTACTGTGTCTCAGATATTGTAAAAGATACAAGAAATTAATTGTTGAAACGGCCTACTAAGATTAAGCTCTGTGTGTTTTTGTTTAGTTTCAATCATATAATGTAAATGTAAAAAATTTAGAAAAATCTGTCTCTCAAAAACCACTAAAAATGTGGATGTACTTCAAAATGCTGAAAATTCTTCAAAAGCATCGAAATATTTAAGTATGTTGTACATTAAAATACCTCGAAACCCTTCTATATAATTCTAATTACAACCAAATACGGCGATAACCTCAAACTATCAAAGTAAAATTCCTGGAAATACTTCGAAATCGTAAACACATCAGCAGATCAATCTCAATAACCGCGTAAAAGGACAATGTCAGGGGAGCAAAGGTCGATATCCTTAGACACCCAGAATCATCGATATTTTTAACCCCTTTGTCAGTGACATCGTGCCAAACATGCCAAACAAGGTATCGGTATCGACAATATGTACAGAGAAAAATTCAGACGTTTAGCAAAAAGGTTTATAAAATGTCACTTTTGATAGGCAGATTAAACATTGTTTTATTCTATAGATAATCGACGGTATTTGGGTTAAGCTGGTAGATTTCCTTCCACAACTGCATCCTCTCTGGTTCAGGATTAACTTGATTGGTCAGTTCACTTCCAATGTCGATAAAATTAAGTTGTCCTTTTTCGGCTGGCTTCCATGTTATTCCAAGTTCCTTTTCGTCAGGCGTAGGATTTCCGTACTTGGCAAAGTTCGTCCACAGCTTCACAAACCTCCTTACTGATATGTCCTCGATACTACCTGGTTGGAATGGAGGAGTAATCACGTTTTTGAAGAGGTACCCTAGGTCGTCAGCGTGACAAGCACCTAAAATATTTGCATTTGTTATTTTAAATAAGTTGACTACAGAAAAACTCATATTGAATAACTTTTCTTCACTTAAAAGTAATTACCTACTACATTTTTCTCAAAATTATTCTTTACTGATCCGGAAGAGTATGATGGTTCAATAATTTGTATGAGAGATAATAAATTCGCATTTTATCATTTACCTGGATTAGTTAGTTTTGTGTAAAGCTTCATTAGATTTAGTCCAGCATCTAGGGACATCCTATATAAGTAAACTGGACACCGCGATGTTTCCGCGTGATTTTTCGCTGATGCTATGATTCCTGCCACGAACAGTGAGTCGGTAGACATCTTAAAAAAATTGTAATATTGTTAAATTACGAAATATTTAATATTGTTAGTATTACAATATAATTGTTTGTGTAGGACATGTCGTGTGCTGACACTTTTTATGACAAGCAATTGCTTAAATAAGTTCTAAACATAATAATTAAATAATACTAAAGTGAAGTAATTGTTGTAAAATGTTTCATACTCGCTGCTGGTAATTTACCGCGTTCTTTGTATCCAAAAATTTTTTTTATATTATTGTTTCTTATATTTATATGTAGGTAAATGTAGGCTTAAATCATTTTTACCTATTTACTTCCACTAAAAAATGTTATAAAACTTTGTGACTTTGATATTTCGTGTGGACACCCTGTCTAAATAAAGTAAAAGAAAATTTTGCTTGGGAATAAACAGGTTGCTAACTTACCAAGTACTTATTGTCATCAAGATTAGGACCCTGAAAATAAGTTTTCTTTAACTTTTCACACACTTCTTTGCTAATATCGCTTCCGCTCTCCAATCCTATATACCAAGGAACGGCGTCTTCCAAATTTGGGGGATCGTTTTTAACTGGTAAACCCGCTGAGGCTGCCAAAGCGTCAGCCGCCGCTAGTAACAGCCCTTCTCTTGAGTTGTAACCGATCATTAAAGGAACTTGATTGTACTTTCCAGACGTGATTATATCAATTGGTTTTTCAGTGATAAAAGCTGTTTTACTAGGTTTTTCGATAACGGGAGCAAAACATAGTTGGCCTGTCGGTTTTCTTGCCTGAAAAGAATCGTTTATACTAATTAATAACTATTAATTTATAACAAAGATAATTTAGTGTGAGTAATAGTTAATTACTTTATTATCTGCTTATTTTTCAAAACATCGGTAAAGTTTATTGAGTATGAAATGTAATTTACAGCTGCATTCGAATTTTGGAAAAAACATGACCTCGAAGAGGTTGTATTAACTTTCAACTACTAACACTTGGAGCAAAAATATTTGACAGAGTTATAGACAAATGTTAGGCAAAGACTCCTATATTAGCTAATATCGATATTTTACACAGGGCATTTTTTATAATTCGATCATTTTTAGAAAGTTTAAATTTGATTTTCTTAAATTTTTCAAATGGAACACCCTGTATTGTATTGTTCTATTTTATTCACTTATCAGACCACTTCAACTTATATTAAGTATGTTCTACACCTAAAGTTGTTAGTTTTTAAGATATAGCAACATTTTTGGAAAAAACTAATTTTTATTATTTTCGGTCGTACGAAATGGCTTTGGAAAAAAACTGTCACATTGTGTCAACTTGTCAATTCATAATTTATCATTCCATTCTAAGTTAATTTTATTATATAATATTTATTTGTGGTATTCTATAAAATAATAATAAAGTTTTTTCCGAAATGTTGCTATATATCTTAAAAACTAACAATTTTAGATATAGAACATGCTTAATAAAAGTTGAAGTGGACCGATATGTGAATAAAATACAGGGTGTTGTTCCATTTGGAAAATTTTAGAAAATCAAGTTCAAATTTTATAAAAACGATCGAATTATAAAAAATGCCCTGTATAAAATATCGATATTAGCTCATATAGAAGCTTTTGTCTAACATTTACCTATAATTCTGTCTAATTATTTTGTTCCAAGTGTTAGTAGCTGAAAACTCCTTCGAGGTCATGTTTTTTCCAAAATTCGAAGAATTTTCTACATAACTTGGCAACCCCGCACTAAAATGATAGTGTTTATATTGCCATATATAGAATTTTCTCGGGAATCTATATGTTTAAAAATATACAGGGTGTTCCATTTAAAAAATGTAATATTTGGCATGTCCCGTTTTTACTCATCGCCCTGTCTGTACCAAATTAATTTTGTAGTTTACGTTTCTTGATTCTGTACAACTTTTATATAAACTTTTTTTCTGTATTATGAGTAATAAGGAAGTTATTTTACTTTCTCACCCTGTATATTTCAACGAAAGAAACAAGAGTAGTTTTATATATGCAGTAAGCACGTATTTTTTTATATTTCATATAAAAAATAATTAAAATTACGTCAATTTAAAATATCCCGATAAGAGAAAACGTACAATAATTCGACAGAGTTTGGATAGCTTGGGCAGCGGAAAGGTCTTGGCTATTTTAATAAATAAATAAAAATACACGCTATATAAAAGTACCTACTCTCTTTTTTTTTCGTTGATATCCACTAGTCTCTACATAAGGATGCAGTCTCAAAACTTATATCTAACATAGGTACTTAATATATTTACCGCTTCAACCTTTCCTTGAGCCTCGTACAGTAATTCTACAGGCGCTTTTTTCAGTACATCCAAAGCCTCTTTGTCACTGCTCACATCCTGACCTAACTCCTTTGCTAGGGCCACCATCACGTGCTTTCCCTCGGCGAAATAGTTCAATGTGGTTCCACTTTGCAATATCGCCTTGTGAAATAAACCCTTCGCCCTAGGAGACAGCACAAGGTAATGCACCGAAACACTCCCAGCGCTTTCTCCGAAAATCGTCACGTTATTGGGGTCGCCGTTGAAGTTTCTGATGTTTTCCTGCACCCACTGGAGAGCCAAGATTTGGTCTTTTAGCCCAGCATTTCCAGGGACCCTTAGAGCATCGTCGTCGGAACTTAGGAACCCCAAGGCACCCAGGCGATAGTTTGGTACTACTAGAACGACGTCCTGCGTCATTAAGAAGTCCGGTCCGTATAAATCGGGTTTGTTCGATCCCGTTAGAAACCCTCCCCCGTGGATAAAAACCATCACGGGTTTCAGCACGGTCTTTGAATCTGAAAGCTGGACAAACAAAACCAACACATTAATCGGGTGCCACATAAGTTTCATTTAAACGGTGATCGTTTTTGTGATAGTTGCTTGATGACAATTATCACAAGAAAATAACGCAACAGTTTAAAATGCATTTGAAATAAAAAAATTTCTATACTTAACAAAATATTAAGAGAAATGATAAATATATGGCTTTACAAAATTTCTCACATCATCTATAAGAAGAAAACATTTTCAAAAATTTGTTTTTAAAAATGTGAAAAACATACGCGCTAGTTAATAGCACTATCATTGATGAAGATGAGAACATAAGCGGGCCCAAATCATACTATATTATACATTGTATCCCATCTGCAAAACTTTAAAATAATCTTGTTAATATTGCCTGTTAGATACTTACGCTTTTCGTAAAAACATTTAGATTCAAACAGTCCTCAGAACCGCCAATGCTTCTGAATAATACATCATTTGCATAACAATTGTTTCCTTCCTTCGTTGCATCCTTTATCCCGTGCCATGGTTCAGCTGGTAGAGGATTCTATATGAAAAAATACCTTTAGTGTTGTTCGTATAATAATACAGTTTGATGAGAACGCTAGATGACAAAGATACTTGTCTTTAGTATAAATACTGTATTATATTATATTATATTATATTATATTATATTATATTATATTATATTATATTATATTATATTATATTATATTATATTATATTATATTATTTATGTATTATACCTAATCATATTATAATATATAAATATGCTCTTTAGTATTGTAATGTCCTAACTGTGCTGCAAATCAATGTAAAAATATTGTAACTGTCCATCAAATATAGCTGTTCAGTTACTCAAAAACAGTTAGAAATATATTCGAATGAAGTTATGCACACACCAGAAGATACAGAAAAAAATAGTTTTCAAATTTTAGAGATTCTTAATTAGTAGCTTTCCCATCCAGGTGCGTTAATAAAAATTGAGCATTATATACGTTATTATGGACAATACATCGATTGTCGTAATTTTAATTTTAATAATAAATCGATTAAGGTCTTTGAAAATGAATTTAATTATTAAAAAAAGACTGATTAGCGAGATGCTGTAATAAAGTTGCATAATAATTCCATAAACAAAAAGTCAAATACTGGTGTTAATTTTGAAAATGGCAAAAGATTTTCTCAGAAAAATTTTTAACTTTGAATTCATTACGTGATGAATTAATTTAATTATATGTATCTGTTTTTCTCACTATGTAAGGCTGCTATTTTTTGACAAACATATATGTTTGATGTTTTAAATAATAAATATGTTTTAAATATTGTTTTAATATTATTATTTTAAGCTCTAAAAAATTTTTAAAAACAGTCGAAATTCGACTTACGATTAGTCAGCAAACAATATCGAATACTGACAACACTATCAATTATTATCAATATACCTTATCTTTAATCTTGTTTAACATCTTATGTAACATTTTCATTGCATAATTAAAAGGAGCAAAACATTCGTTATTAGCTTCGGTGCAACATAAATGGATTTATATGAAATTTTCAACTAAAAACGGTGTTCAAATGTCTCAACTTATTAAAGTATTCGTAATTAATTCTAATTATAATCTGATAAACATAACTTATTATTTATCAGTGAACAGTCGATAAAAAAGGTTAATAATAACAATAATGCGGTTTAAATTGTTAAACTGGTGCACTGATATTTTTTTGACAAACCTTTCGCTTGATTTTCAAGGACATTTAGTTCTATAAAACGATTCTAGTTTCAATGACAATAAATACAAAATAGTAAGGTCCTTGTCGCAAAATCTAACTGTGATTGAGTACCAATAACTTACAAATAGTATCTTCTGTGCGATCGCATAAGAATATCTAAAAAGTACTAAACACTGAGACAATTCCTGTATAAAATTTTAAGTAAAAAATTCTCCTTACCTTAAACCTTAGTTCTCCAATTGGCGGCTTCGCAAACGGTATCCCAAGAAACGAAATAATTCGCCCCCCATCAATGTCAGTGCCAATGAAGCCTTTCACGTGGCCTTGTTTGGTTGACACTATCGGCGCAACCATATTATTTGTTACTGTTAATCAATACAATGTTTTTCTCAGCAAACATTTAAAACTGTTCAAACAATACTGTCGAGTTATTTACGAGCTACTAAATCATTTACGTGTCTATGTAGTCCAAGTATGTCGTTATCTCTAGTCGAACCATAAGCGTGAGTAGAAAGGGTCCAACTACAAACTATTCTCAGGTAGATAGCAGCATTGGCCACTAGATGTAACCCTCAGTTACAACTTTTATTTGTACTTACTCCTTTGCTGAATTTATGAAATCTTATAAACAGCTTTATGGTTTGTCAGTTGTCACTATGGCGTACTAATGTGGACTAATAAGTCCAAAACCGGTATATGTCTGGTGTGTTTGGCTGACGAATGATCCTAACTGTATTTAACTCGGTGTCACTTTATACTTCCAAAGTAGCTTAGAAAAAAGCGGACAAATAATTACTATGTTTAGTAAATCTCAAATAACAGTCAATCCATACACCTAAATTTTTACAGCTATCAACTACAGGCAAAGCGTTAACATTCATTATATGGCAATAGTATCTCTTGTATTTTAAACTATGAGCAAGTGGTTTATAATGCTATAAACTCAGATCAGAATAAATCAACTGCTGGTAGAATTTTATTGATTGAGCATGATGATATAAATTACAGCTATTTATAAACTTACAAAAGTTGGATACACACAGGATGGTCTAGATTTTAATAGACAAACTTCGGCAAACTACTAAACAACAAAAATTAACATCACTTTGCTCTATGAACATAGGCGCAGAAAGCCACCGTTTATGAGATAGAGGGCGTTGAAATTAACAAAAATAAAACAATTTTTTTAAATATCTGGAAAACGGCTTTATCAAATTTATCCAAATTTGGTACATATTTTTTTTTCAAATATTTCCCCTAGTTTTGTATGCACATAGTTCAAATTCAAAGTAAAACTTCTACGCCACTGAATTAATTGGTAATATGAATACATTTTATAATGGTCTGAAACATTCCGGGTGAAAAAACATTCTTTTATTTTTGTCGAAAAGTAAACAAAGCGTTGAAATCGGGAAAATAAAACAAATTTGGGTGGTCCAGATTTTAATAGACAAATTTCTGGAAAGTTTGAAATAACAAAAATTAATATCACTTTGCTCTATGAACATTGGCGCAGAAAGCTACCGTTTATGAGATACAGGGCGTTGAAATTAACAAAAATAAAATAATTTTTTTAAATATCTGGAAAACCGCATCATAATATGTCTCATAACTCGTAAACCATTCACTTTTCGACAAAAATAAAAGAATGTTTTTTTCATCCGGAATATTTCAGACCATTATAAAATGTATTCATATTACCAATTAATTACCAGTAGCGTAGAAGTTTTACTACAAATAAGGAAACATCTTCATTGTTTCTCCGCCACTGATTTTTGAATTTGGATTGTGTGCATACAGAACTAGGAGAAATATTCGATAAAAAATGTGTACCAAATTTCGATAAATTTGATGAAGCGGTTTTCCAGATATTTAAAAAAAAAGTTTTATTTTTGATAATTTCAACACCCTGTATCTCATAAACGGAGGCTTTCTGCGCCTATGTTTATAGAGCAAAGTGATGTTAATTTTTGTTGTTTAGTACTTTCCCGAGGTTTGTCTATTAACATCTGAACCACCCTGTATATTGAAAATAACAAAGGTCCTAATATGGAACCTTGAGGTACTCCCAGTCTAAGCAACAACGAACTAGAAATCTCAGAATTCAGTGAAATACTATGAAAACGTTTATTTAGGTAATTATGTATAAAAGAGACAGCATTTACATTGAACCCAAAGAAACCTAACTTTCTATAAAGTTATGCTCCAAAGTGTTAAACGTCTTACTTAGAATCTAATAAGATTAGATTATTTTATTTGATACTACTTTTAAAGATATTGTTAATTGTAACTGCTACTCACTGCTGTTAATAAATGTCTACTGGCACAAAATATTACATTGTATCTATTAGTCAAGAACTACCCATATTTTAGCTCTACTGTATTGTGGGTGTAATCAATATTGGACGTAAGGTAGTTGTATCCCACAATATAATTACAAACTTTGTTTCTCCCAGTATGACGCTAGTCTTGTTTTTATAGTACCGACCGATTTGCAGGTAGCTCTCTGCTAGTCGGCATTGGGTAGCAGTAACAATTAAGAAATGACACACTTTATAGGTTATGTCTCACTCACAAATCTTAGTTAACTCGATTAATTTTCGATGTACATAGGATTTGTCGGATTTTTTCCATTTTTATTGGGTCCTGTGTCTCAGATATTGTAAGAGATACAAGAAATAAATTGTTGAAACGGCCTACCAAAATTAAACTCTGTGTATTTTTGTTTAGTTTCAATCATATAATGTAAATGTACAAAATTTAGAAAAATATGTATCTCAAAAACCACTAAAAATGTGGATATACTTGTTGAAAATTCTTCAAAAGCCTCGATATATTTAAGTATGTTGTACATTAAAATACCTCGAAACCCTTCTAAATAACTCTAATTACAACCAAATACGGCGAAAACCTCACTGTCAAAGAAAAATTCCTGGAAATACTTCAAATATCGTAAACACATCAACAGATCAAGGTCAATAACCGACGTCAAAGGACAATGTCAGGGGAGCAAAGGTCGATATTGTAGACACCCAGAATCATCGATATTCAACCCCTTGATCAGTGACACTGTGCCCGAAAAAGTGCCAAGCAAGATGTCGGTATAGACACTACAACTTATTGATTGCTCTGCCGGTAATTACATACTTATATCGCAGAAATTTAATGAATGGATAACTATACTTGGATTCTGAGTAACTGCACTACAATTTAAAGGATAAAGACAAAAATGCAAACGTTTAGCAAAAAGTTTTATAAAATATCACCAAATATAAACATTGTGCTGTTCTATAAATAATTGACAGTATTTGGACCAAGCTGGTAGATTTCCTTCCACAACTGCATCCTCTCTGGTTCAGGATTAACTTGATTGGTCAGTTCATTTCCAATGTCGATAAAATTAAGTTGTCCTTTTTCGGCTAGCTTCCATGTTATTCCAAGTTCCTTTTCGTCAGGCGTAGGATTTCCGTACTTGGCAAAGTTCGTCCACAGCTTCACAAACCTTCTTACTGATATATCCTCGATACTGCCTGGTTGAAATGGAGGAATAATATCATTTTTGAAGAGGTATCCTAAGTCGTCAACGTGACTCGCACCTAAAATATTCGCAGGTGTTATTTTAAATAAGATTATTAAAGAAAAGTTCCAGGAACATATCGAATAACCTTCAATTCAGGAAGACATAGTGTGGTGTCCACCAGCTATAACGAAGCTCCGCACTTTGCACGGCACCAGAGCCTCGCGCAGAACATTGCCGACTAATGGCCAGTATATTTGTATTCACTGAATGATTACGATGTTAACCATGAGTTCTTTTTATCATCTCCATTATCGGACGAAGATAAAGTTTCGTTAAATTTCAATTTAAAAATTTAGTCATTAAATAAAAATAGACAGTACATCTTCTTAATAAAAAGCGAAGTCACTATGGTGAGTTCCATAACCTTTATGAGGTTTTTGTCTGGTGCGGTGCTTCGTTATAGCCGTGAAGAGTGAAAATAAATTTCCTTTTCGTTATTTACCTGGATTAGTTAATTTTGTGTAAATCTTCATTATATTTAGTCCAGCATCTAAAGACATCCTATATACATAAACTGGACACCGCGATGTTTCTACGTGATTTTTCACTGATCCTATGATTGCTGCCACGAACATAGAGTCGGTAGTCATCTTAAAAAATATAAAAAAAATTAATTGTTACATTACAAAATATTTAAAGTACTATATTAAATGAATTAAATGAATCATTGTCACCAAGAGTTTTGTGAAAGGACCTTTTAAATATTGTGTTACTTAGAGTCTTAAACATTATATCAAATTTCTCAAAATCAGCAGCGATAGCAAACTAACGTTGCTTATCATTGTTAAAAAACTCAATACCTTAAGTTATATAAAATTAATTTGTCAACACCTATAATAATAGGTATAATAGGTCTATTCTGCAGCAGTTGAGGATTGATTTGAAACTATTTGGCGAATCGATTCGTGAACATGTACACTTATACACAATTATGTAACAACTTAAGTGGTCGAATGTATCTGATGGTTTGAAAACAGTTTGAAACTCATGCAGAAACAAACCTATAAAATTATTAGTTTTAATATCGAGGTAACGAGCAACATTCTATAACTTTTTTAAAGGTGACTAGTGGTGATTAGTGACAAATGTAATAACAACAAAACTATAAGCCTTAAATGATCGTTGTACGGTAAATATGGTAAATTTTAGTTGGGAATAAATACGCTCCTTAACTTACCACGTACGTATTGTCCACAAGATCAGGACCTTGAAAATAAGTTTTCTTTAACTTTTCACACACTTGTTTGCTAATATCGCTTCCGCTCTCCAATCCTATACGCCAAGGAATGGCGTCTTCCAAGTTTGGGGGATTCTTTTTGAATGGTAATCCCTTTGAGGCTGCCAAGAGAGGAAGCGCCGCTAGAAACATCCCTTCTCTTGTAGTGTAACCGAACATCAATGGAACTTGATTGTAATTTCCTGACTTGATTATGTCGATGGGGTTTTCTGTGATGAAAGCTGTGTTACTGGGCTTTTCGATAATGGGCGCAAAACATAGTTTGCTTGCCGGTTTCCTTGCCTAGAAAAATTGATTCGTAGTAATTAAGGATTTTTAATTTATAACAAAGATAATTTAGTACGAGTAATAATAATTAATAGTTTTTTATGAACAAAAATTAAGATTAAAATAACCATGCATAGAAAACTTGTTGTGAAATTAGAAAATACCGAGTATCGTCAAAATTGTAGGTTTCTTAGTATCTGTGACATATTTCAACCACTGGTTATCATATTTGTGCTCCCAAGTAGATAGTGATTCTGATAAGAGATAAAAATGTTGGTGTTAAAAAACTGCCTTCATGACTCAAAAATACTTGTCTGTGAAACAAAATGTAACATTATTACAGATCCGTAAAATACATTTGGAAATTTAAAAATATTACTCACTATTAAGGTGCCATTTCTGAATTAGATATCACAAAGTTTGAGCAACAGCACGTAATCTTCCTAATAAAGAATAATTTGAATTTGAAGATCAAACATTATTAAGGCAAATTGCCAAATAAAAGAAAATGTGTGTGAAAAATTTGGATATTTTAGGCCTACTGTGTCTAAAAATACTGAGGACTCAAATGTCATATAAAAATGTCAAAAGTTCAAAGACCGAATTTCAAAGGTAGAGGAAGCAAATGTGACATTGACTTTTAGACCTGTATCACAAACATTTTTTTGTTTCCAAAGCTGTCTTGAGGTAAATTGATATATTTTTCATTGCTTTTCGTATTTAATCATCAATTTTTGATGCAGCATTTGCGATATTATGGCAATTTTTGACACACTACATAAAAATACTGTCTTCCTTCTTTCGTTAATATTCGGACACAGACGCAAAACTTATATTTAACATACTTATTAACATATTTACCGCCTGAACCTTTCCTTGAGCCTCGCACAATAATTCTACAGGCATTTCCCTCAGTATATCCAAAGCCTCTTTGTCACTGCTTACATCATGACCTAACTCCTTTGCTAGGGCCACCATATCTGGCTTTCCCTCGGCGAAATCGTTGAAAGTTGTCCCGCTTTGCAATATCGCCCTATGAAATAGGCCCTTCGACCTAGGAGACAGCACATGGTAGTGCACCGAAGAACCTCCCGCGCTTTCTCCAAAAATCGTTACGTTATTGGGGTCGCCGTTGAAGTTTCTGATGTTTTCCTGCACCCATTGTAGGGCCAAGAGTTGGTCCTTTAGCCCAACATTTCCAGGCAACCCTAAAGTATCGTCGTCGGAACTTAGGAACCCCAAGGCACCCAGACGATAATTTGGTACTACAAGGACGATGTCCTGGGTTAGTAGGAATTCTGGTCCATACATGTCGGGTTTGTTCGATCCCAGTAAAAACCCTCCTCCGTGGATAAATACCATTACGGGTTTCAGCTCGGTCTTTGAGTCCGCAAGCTGGATAAACAAAGCTAATACTTTAATATTGTACCACTTAAGCCTCATTTACCGGTGATCATTTTTGTGATAGTTGTTATGATGACAACTATCCCAAAAACTATTCTCGTGGTAGTTCTGGCGACTATAACATCCTCCTTTATTTATTTCTCTAAATAACACTGACATAGTCCAAGCCAATAATAAATTGTAAAACTATACCAAGCTTGTCTTTAAAAAAGTACTTACTATATTTTGAAATTTTTTTGATAACTGCAATGTTTCATTTTTTTATAAATTATTATAGATTGTAAGATAATTTGAGAATAGCACTAGCATTGATGAAGATGAAAAACAGATGTGATCCCAAATTAGATCCTTGCAGCGCATCAGAAGTAGTTACAAATGTAAATGAAGAATATCTCTCATATTCTATAAATTATTTGTGATGACAAAATCCAAATTAATTTTCTCAATAAAACAATTTGAATACAAGCATTAACTTGACCCTGCTCAATATCAATTTTCTATTAAGATATTTATACAGATCTACACTAGTGTGAGTGAGCAGCATTAGCCCTACCATAAAATAAAGTAATTAATACTACCTGTTAGGTACTTACGCTTTTCGTAAAAACATTTAGATTCAGACAGTCCTCAGAACCACCAAGAGTTCTGAAAAACAGATCATATCCATAACAATTGTTGCCATCCTTCGTTGCATCCTTTATTCCATCCCATGGTTCGGCTGGTAAAGGATCCTGTGAGAAAATATACTATTATCCTTGTTTGTTTAATAATACAGTTTGACAATTTGTCAAACTTGATGAGAACACTAGATGGTGACACTTTAATCATATTTGTGTTTCTTGTAAATATATACTACATCTTATGATATTATACATAAATAAGCTCTTTAGTAATGATACGAGTATAAATATGTACTAAAGAAAAGAAACAAATTCTAACGATTCTTCAAGGATGATTGTGAATTTTTTTATCAGTTACTCAAGAACAGTTGAAGATATAGGCTTCCAACTTTGTATGCAGTTGTCTTTGTTGTTGTACTCATATGTAAAATTTAACATTTAGCTAGTAGTGTCGAAATTAGAAGGATTTTGACAGATTTTAAATGTTTTTTTATAACACTCAATTGATTACATGAGAAATTATTTTAATTACACTTTTCCCTTTTTTAAATATATTTTTATCGTTGTTCTTTGATCAACAATTTAATATGTGTTTGTTTCATGAAGTACCTATTGAAATATGTTTTAAATATTGATTCAATGTTACTATTTATAGCTCTGAAGAAAACTTTAAATAAAATCTAAACGTTGGCTTAGTCACATACATATACATACATTATTATACAGGGTGTCCCTGAAAAGGATGGACAACGCTTGACCACAGGTTTCTTGGATGAAAACAAGACTATTTAGCCTAACTTACCTATACATATACAAAAGTGCACGCCTACTGAGATATAGCCTTCCAAATATAGAACAGATAACGTAGTTTTTTTTCAAATAATTTGAAAACATTTTTCTTAGAAACTTCAAATTTGGTACACATATTTTTTTATATAAGGGCAATGTAAATGTAGAATTTGGTGAGAATACATATACAGCCTACAACATTTTTGTATGTACGCCAATGACGACAGAATTTATATTTTTAAAAATAAGCACTATTTTAGAAGATTTTTTGCCTCTTACAAAATTTTGATATCGTTTATGGATTTCGAGTAAAATTGGCATTTTTTACACATTAAATAATATAAAATCAGTTTAAGATAAATAGAACATTCTAGTACGAGGTGTCATATAACAGAAACAAATTCATAACAATAATTAAAAGGTTCTGTGTCAAGCTAGCTGTGATTTAATTTTAGCTTACTTTGTTTTTTATTGCAATTTATACTTTTGCTGAACAAACTGATATGTTAGTAGTTTTAGGTTATTGTGGAGGAAATTGTTGTGCTACTGTTCGAACATATGCTGAAAGATTTCCTAATCGAAAAACTCCAAATCACAAAACATTTGCTAATGCAGAGAGACGCCTTCGGGAAACAGGACGATTTTTACCTGTAACATTAAATCGTGGATAATGTACGGCCGGAATTATACAGCTGGAGGAACAAATTTTGAAAAGGGTCGAAGAAATTCGTCAAGTAAATAAAAGGCGTTTAGCGGCAGAGGTTGGCTTTCAAAAAGTTCCTTGAATAAAGTATTAAAAAACCAGTTATTACAGGTAGGTATTACACGTTATTAAAGGTCTAACAGGTGGATAGGTAGAGGAAATAATGCCCCTTTAAAATGGCCACCTCGATCCCCGGACCTAAACCCATGTAATTATTTCATTTGGGGAACGTTGAAAACCACAGTTTAAAATAACTTTTCAGTAAATACAGAAAACGAATATGAGAAAGAATGAATTAATGTTTTGAGAGGTAATGCACAATTATTGGATAATTTCTAATTTTTGAAGAACTAATGTTTGCATTTAAGAACAAGAAAATAACTTTGAGCATTTACTGTAATATTATTTTAATGTGATTACAAATATCAGTTTATTTAAAATGTTAATGGACTTTCTTACATTATTAGTTGATATTGTTTATTTAAGATAATAGTGTTGATTTTTATTTTATTGATTGATAATACTAATACTAAAAATATGTAGTTATTTTTTTTTAATGTGACGTTTTTTCATTAATATTCCCTGGTTTGAGTCTGCAGTTATAAATTATTTTTTATAAATCAGAATTTTTGCCTATATTTAATGTATAAAAAATGCGAATTTTACTCGAAATCCATAAACGATATCGAAATTTTGTAAGAGCAAAAAAATCTTCTAAAATAGTGCTTATTTTTAAAAATATCTGTCGTCATTGGCTTACACACAAAAAAGTTACGGGATAGCCAGTGGCGCACAGGCACTAGAAATAGAATATCCTGTATATGTATTCTCTCCAAATTCTATATTTACCTTGCCCTTATATAAAAAAATAAGTGTACCAAATTTGAAGTTTCTAAGAAAAATAGTTTTCAAATTATTTGAAAAAAGTAGATCTCTATATCTCTATATTTAGAAGGCTATATCTCAGTAGGCGTGCACATTTGTATATAGGTAAGTTAGGCTAAATAGTCTTATTTTCATCCAAGGAACCCGTGACCAAGCGATGTCCATCCTTTTCAGGGACACCCTGTATAAATAAACATAAGTTTTGTATCATATCGTCAATAATCAACTACTTTGATCAAGTTGTGAAAAAAGATTTCATATACTGACAGCACTATCTTTTATCAACATACTTTATCTTTAATCTGTGTAACACCTTCATTATTGAATTAAATGGAGTATCGCGTATTTGTTATTATCTTTGGTAGAACATAACAAAATTTATATAAAAATAGTCATCTACAAATAATATTTATTTAAAAATATTTTTTAACGAAAATAATATAACTTATTATGTTATCAAGTTATTGTTGATATTTCACACGCCCGTGAATCAAATGAAGGTTGATGTTAAAAGTAATTACCAGAGAGCGGACAATTTGTGTCTTTAACCTTGAACATAGATATGTCATTCATAAACCTAGATACATTACCCATGACGCAGTGGCGTGTCGGGTATGCATCGGAAATTTACGTGATAATTCACGAAAATTCCACGGTACATACATTTTTAGGCGTTATAAAATATTTAGAAAATCAGAAATTGTATACTACATATTTATTAAATAAAGTTCGGTTAAAAATAGTGTCGTTCTTTTAATTGGAAATTAGGAGTCAATGTAACGAATATCATCAGGCGACACACATGATAGAATACGCTCCATTCATAACAGGGCTGCAGTTTGAATTTTGACCAATAGGAATTCGATAAACGCAACCGATGTCGACGGATGGACTAGAGATGGGCGCGTGTGTCATTTCATTTCTTTAGAACTAAATTAACTTAATTATTTTCTCGTTATTTAACCGGTTCACATGATTTATGGATTTTAAATAAAGGGTACAAATCTTCGCGAGGATAATACGATATATTTGCTATACATAATAATTATACACAATACATTTTTGAACGCGTACACATCTCTACCAAAATTTGACCTATTCTTCGGGTTAAAGACACACATTGTCCGCTCTCTAGTAATTACCATGATAATTGTTTTTTGGTTCGATTCAATGATAAAAGAATGTAATGTAAGATAAGATTTATATCTATAATATGAGTAAAACAATAATTAAACTTTGATAAATCTAAGTTCCTATTTTTTTTTAATAATAAATCAGACCATTCATCTGTTTTTATATTTAATATGACATGATTTGCTTGTTGCAATTATTGTAAAAAAAAAACATATTATTCCATATATTAATTTTGTTGGAAATAATAGACGTTTCCTCTTGCGAGGATGATTAAATTCTAAATCAAATAACTTTTGGAAAAGACATAAGTGTCTTAATTTATTTATTGATGAATTCTGACTAATATTTAGCAAGAGCTGTTTTTGGTTTTTGTACCAGTCATTCAAAAAAGTAGAAGGTCTGGCATTATGGATTAAAACGTTAGGTGACATTGTTATAGCTACAAATATTGGCAAATCAGCCCCTTTATTTTTCAACGATTATTGTGAAATGTTTCTAAGGGTATAAATATAAAATAATAACTCAACATAACTGTGATGTGTTAATAAACTAATATGTAACATACAAAAAGCAACTTCTGTGTGATATTGAGAGAACATCTGTCTACATTTTTAAATAAAAAATTATTCCTTACCTTAAACCTCAGTTCTCCAAGTGGCGGCTTTGCGAAAGGCACCCCCAGGAACGAAATAATTCGCCCCCCATCAATGTCAGTGCCAAAGAAGCCTTTCAATCGGCCTTGTTTGGTTGCTACTATGGGCGCAACCATATTATTTGTTGCTGCTATTTAATACAATGTTTTTCCTCTAACACCTAAAACAGTTGAAATAATACTGCGGGGAAATTTACGAGCTGTGAAAACCTATATTTATCTCATTCAAATAAGGTGTTATCGGGCGTAGAACCACAAGCGTGAGGAGAAAGGGGGCAACGGAAACCGGTAATTTTTAAACAAATATAGATACAACGACGAAGTGCAACTTGACTACCTTGATTAGTTTTCGATACAGATGGTTCACTTTTTAATGATTTCTCTTACATATACAGGCTGTTCTGAAAAACACTAGAATAAATTCAGGGCCTGATAGAATTTCAAAAAATATTACAATTTGTTCCTATGACGCACTATGCCTGGTTATCCTCGAAAACGGGCAAATTTTACCACTTCTTACAAGAGCACGTTTTTTATTTAAAATAAAACATGCCAAGTGACCAAAAGCGACAAAATGATTAATCTCAAAAAAGTTATGGCCTAAAATGTTCCACGCGGAGTACTGCACTGAACACCCTGTATGATATAACCAAAAATTAATAACTTCAGAGCATTTAGCACCCCCAGAAATTCCACATAACAAAATTTCAGTTTATTCGGTCGAATTTTGTGGAAGATAGGGCCGAAACTAGATTCTAAAAAATTATTTTCAACGCACTGTATCTTGAAAACGAAAAAAGATACGCCCATGGTTCATAGGAACAAATTGTAATATTTTTTTAAATTCTATCAGGCCCTGAATTTATGCTAGTGTTTATTAGAACACCCTGTATATTTAATTGTTCTATACTTAGACACATGTAGAAAATTAAAACAAGTTGCTGCTTATAAGCGTAAAAATATAGTTTCTGGTTACTATACGCCATGCGATCGAACTCATGGTGAATGGTTGAATTATAAGATGATGACATACAGAATGTGATAGTATCCCAGCAACACCGTGCCAGAAAAACTTGCCAAACAAGGAAGGTGTCAATGTGGATAATACACATGGTAAACATTTATTGATAGCTCTGCCAATAACTCTTTATGACATACTTATATCACAGAAATGGAATGAACCAATAGAGATATTCTGTATGATTCAAGGAATAAAGACTAAAATGCAGATGTTTATTAAAAAGATTTATAAAATCTCAACAACGTTTTTGATGGACATATATAAACACTATGCTGTTCTATAAATAACTGGCAGTGTTTGGACAAAGCTGGTAGATTTCCTTCCACAACTGCATCCTCTCTGATTCAGGATTAACCTCACTGGTTAGTTCATTTCCAATGTCGATAAAATTAAGTTGTCCTGTTTCGACCGGTTTCCAAATTATTCCAAGTTCATTTTCGTCAGGCGTAGGATTCCCGTACTTGGCAAAGTTCGTCCACAGTTTCACAAACCTTCTTACTGATATATCCTCGATACTACCTGGTTCAAATGGAGGAATAATATCATTTTTGAAGAGGTATCCTAAGTCGTCAACGTGACACGCACCTAAAATATTCGCAGGTGTTATTTTAAATAAGACGATTAAAGCAATGTTCCAGGAACATATCGAATAACTTTTAATGTGACAGTAAGATACTGTGTGGCGTCCTATATTTTCTTCACTTAAAAGTCATTTATTAGGTACTTATGTACCTATATTTCGTTCAATATTTTTTTTTCAAAATTATTCTTTAATAATCCAGTGGTTCAATAATTTGTACGGTTACAACGAAGCCTCGCACTTTGCACGGCATCAGATTTTAGACCAAAACCTCGCACAGAGCATTGCCGACTAGTGACCGCATTGGCGCAGGGCATCTATCATTTAATTTTTTAAACCAAAATTTAACGTAACATCACCTTCGTTCTAGGGTGAAGATGATGAAGGTTTGGTGCCGTGCTAAATGCGGTGCTTCGTGCATAGCTCAGTCGGGTTGTCATTTAACCGGGAAAAAATTAGGGACCACAATTTTATTGTTCTAACCTTTAGGGGGGGTAGTGTAAATTCATAATCGCGACTGAATTCCACCCCTGCGTCAGCCGCCATCTTGAATTTAAGGAAAAATCGTTTTTGCTCAATATCTCGACCATTTTCAAATTTACAACAAAAATGGTAAGGACTTCAGTTGTTGCAAATGCGATTTCCTACAACTTCTTTTATTACATTACATTTTATCGTGCGATCGATATTAAGTTATTATCGAAGTTAAGGGGGAAAATAGTGACAAAGTATAATTATTGAATTATCTCGTTTGTTATTGACTCTACGACATAAATATACATAAACAAAGTTGGAAAGAATTATATTTTCTACAATTTTGATCGCTTTGATTTTTTCGCTACTACCAAAATTTAAGGTCCTACGGCTATGGCAAGCCTAACTAAACTCAAGGGATCAACATTCCATAGGCTTAACGTCTCCGCAAGCGTAGGACCTTAAATGTTGGTAGTAGCGAAAAGATCAAAGAGATCAAAATTGTAGAAAATATAATTCTTTCCAACTTTGTTGATGTATATTTATGTCGTAGAGTCAATAACAAACGAGATAATTCAATAATTAGACTTTGTCAGCATTTTCCCCCTTAACTTGAAAAATATCGATCGCACGATAAAATTTGTAAAGAAAGAAGTTGTAGAAAATCGCATTTGCAACAAGTCCTTACCATTTTTGTTGTAAAGTTGAAAATTGGCGAGATATTGAGCAAAAACGATTTTTCCTTAAATTCAAGATGGCGGCTGACGCAGATGTGGAATTCAGTCGCGATTCTGAATTTACACTACTATTGACCCCCCCCCTAAAGGTTAGAACAATAAAATTATGGTCCCTAATTTTTTCCCGGTTAAGCCCTTTTTTTGTCTAACCCGACTGGAGTAGCAGTCTATAATTGTAAGAATAAAAATAAATTGGTTTTTCGTTGTCTACCTGGTTCAGTTAATTTTGTGTAAACCTTCATTAAATTTAGTCCAGCTTCTAAAGACATCCTGTATATAAAAATTGGACACCGCGATGTTTCCACGTGATTTTTCACTGTTGCCATAGTTGGTGCCACGAACATGGCGTCGGTAATCATCTTAAAAAAATTAAAAAAATTAATATTGTTGCATTACAAAATATTTATAGTTGTTAGCAGTTCAATGTAATTTTTTGTATGTCATGTCGTGTGTTGACCACAGTTTATGTCACTTTTTTTCAAAGTAGGAAACTGTATCGACAATTGTTGCAATATTTTATTTGACATTGATTTTGATCTTTAGTACTAATTTCAGTGAAAAATCCAATACGGAGCTTTATTGAGCTAGGTACTTCTAATAATAAATTATCGTATATACAGGGTGTTCCTAAATACGTGTCGCAACGGAAAACTGTATATTCCTCTTGAAAAAAGAAACATTCTTTTCCTCTTCCATTTTTCTCTCCGGGTTTTCGTTTTCGAGATACACGGTGTCAAAACTTTCATTTTTTTACATTTTTTTGCCAATATCTTAGGAACCGTTTGAACTACAGGATTGTGTTTTTGTACACGCATTACCACTATTAATAGCTACTTTTTCGCACCCTTTTCGAATTCATTGAACGTGGCAGTGGTGGAGATTTTAAGGTTCGACAAAGTTTTTCTTCCCTAACTTTTACGCCACTGGAAGAATTGACATGTGACAGCAAATTCTGAAGAGCCAATGAATTTTACACAAAAAGAGTTCTCTTGGTTCATTGCTCTAAAGTCAACCGTTTTCAAGAAAAAAGACTTTTAATGAACAAAAACAAACAGTTTGCTAACGTTTCGAAAATCTTTTGTAATTCAAAAGATAGGTAGGAATATGTAACAATTTTAACGAAATTTAACAACATTTGCAACAAGTAGCTATTAATAGTGGTAATGTATGTACAAAAGCTCAGTCCTGTAGTTCAAAAGGTTCCTAAGATATTGGCAAAAATCTGAAAAAAAGTTTTGACACCGTGTATTTCGAAAACAAAAGCCCGCCCGAAGAGAAAAATGGAAGAGGAAAAAAATGTTTCTCTTTTCAAGAGGAATTTACAGTTTTCCGTTGCGACACTTATTTAGGAACATCCTGTATGTACATAACCTGACATTATGTAGCAAGATTTTTACTTGCTTTGGTTACCATCCAGTATTTCAATATTTCAGTAGAGCGATTGACTATATTTTGCCCCCCCCCCTCCCTCTTAACTTTTTTGATTTTAGAGTTATAAAAAATGTGGAATATAAAAGTTGCACGATTTTTTATGAAGTTTTCGAAAATGGTAGTAGAACAATAAATGAAGCCCAAACAAAATGATCGCGGATGTTAATTTAAATGGAACACCCTATATATTTTTACATATTTGGATAGAACGTTTCCTGTCGAGCATAGTCATATCACAAAAGTGAGATACTATTAAAAAAAGAAAAGAAGGATTTTTATTAAGAAACACCTCTTTCAGGCATTTCTGCCTTTTTTACAGAATTATTTATAATATACAGAGTGTTAACGAAGTAAGTACTCAAAATTTGGGAGTGGGTAAAACATGTCGAAATATGATGAAAACCTTAGTCTAATTTTTGTCAGTGGCGGCCCCTAAGGGAGATACAATCCTTGAAGGGGTAACCCAGGAAACAATTTTTATTGCATAACTTTAAAAGGGTTTAATATTAAATCACGAAATTTTGGTGTTGTATTACCATTTATATGCTTAATAATCGGTATAATATACAAATCAAAACTTGCTACAGGGGCGTATGGAAATGCGGTACCATGAAGCAAATTCTACAATTTTTTTTGTACCCAATTTTTTCTTGTTCCTGAACCGAAAATATGAAAATTTATGATATTTTGCATAAAAAAGGTACTCTTGTTAGATTTCAATAGCATGAGCCGTTTTCTAGTAAAATCCATTTCAATAATTCATTACGTGTTCGAAAATTCCTGCTGCCAAATAAATATATCAAATTGTGCCATGAGAAAATTACAATTTATGACACTTAACAGAGGTGTCAAGTATATGTTAATTACTGATTAGATTACCTACTCAAAATTGCAATCTGAGAAATTTGAATATAAGTACTGTGATTAACATAGAAGAAACTAAATTATTAGGGCTACTAGTACAGACACAGAGGAGCGTGATGTCAGTAGAGTCCTATGGCATAAATTTTCCGCGGCAACAAATACAATATTTTGCTCCAGCCTCATTCATGGAGTTTAAATATCTTCAAAATGGCAACTTGGAAGCTGCAGAATTTATAGGAGGCTTAGTAACCCCGAAGGAAAAGTGCGTATAAATAAGCATAAAGTCGATGCTGTCAAGAAGTTATTGAAATATATCTCAGAATCAAATGAACAGCATAAACTTTTTTATGAAGCTCATCTTACATGGCCCACAAATTTGGAAGAAGATATTATTTAGATAATTAGTTGAAATAATAATATATTTTGTCATTATTAAACCTGTTCTGAAAGTAATAATAATAATTATTATTTAAGTTTATTTTTAATTATAGCAGTTAGGTTTTAAAAGGAACTAACTCCACAACTGTTTTTTAATATATTTAAAAAAAAACATAAAAGAATAAATTAAACATTATATAAATATTATCCCACATATATTTGCTTTCAATCTATCATAATAATATTTTATTCTAAATTTAAATCTAGCTCTAGTTTAGTTTTTTGTAATTTCCTAACATTTTGGTTTTTTGGAGTTAATTCCTTTTAAGGTGACCATGAAATTTCTGACGTTTTCAGGTACTGAAATCTTGAAAACGTGTAAAACAAAATTAAGCACAAAAATAAAACCCTTGATGTTCTGTTTAATTCATTGTTACCATTTAAATTTACTCAAATAAAATAATAACTAAAAAAAAGCGTTTGTAAAACATATGTTCGCTGTTAACCCCACATTTTAAGAATTATTTTCACGTAATAAATAAAAGTAAACAATTTTATATGTAGGACTAAGCAAGTCAATGTTATAAGAATATTTACATGTGGAGTTATATGGAGTTTAAGGTGTCAGTACTTAAATCGATGTGTCGATCTGCCCGGGCTTCGAATCCCGCGGCCGGTAGACCGTAGATTAGCTATTCTTGTACGGAGGATTGGTACCCTCTGTGCAGGTATGGTAGGGTGGAAGAATGTTGGCTTGGGTCAATGTGAGAGATTGACACCGGTTGGCATTTGACCACCCCCCTAATTAATGAGGTTTTCCAGGTTTCCCTCATTCCTGCACTGAATGGTGGTTAGGGCCTACCAACATAAGTCGTTCCTGGGCGTAAATGCGGCCTGCGTAATTATAATATGCCGCCACCTCTCCCGCACAAGTCCGACTTCTGGGCTAATTCTCGTAGTTAGAATGAGGAGTAGAGATATTATTATTATTTGTCTTTGCGGAAAACACTATTTAAAAAAAATGGTGCCCTTAACACTCAACAATTCAATTATTGAAATGGATTTTATTAGAAAACGGCTCATGGTATTAAAATCTAACAAGAGTACCTTTTCTATGAAAAGTATGACAAATTTTCATATTTTCGGTTCAGGGACTAGAAAAAACTACGTACAAAAAAAATTGTAAAATTTGCCCCATTGTCCCGCATTTTCTCACGACCCTGTAGCAAATTTTGATTTGTATGTTCTACCGATTATTATTAAGCATGTAAATGGCAATACAACCCCAAAATTTCGCTATTTAATATTAAACCGTTTAGAAGTTATGCAATAAAAACTGTTTCCTGAGTTACCCCTTCAAGGGGCTGTATCTCCCTTAGGGGCCGCCACTGACAAAAACTCTACTAAGGTTTTCATCATATTTCGACATGTTTTACACACTCTTAAATTTTGAGTACTTATTTCGTTATTATTTTGACATATCGGACATTGATACGGTTCAAAATGCGTATAGGTATTTTCCTAAATCTCACTATAAGCCATGGGAGACCTAATTACTTATGGAAAATGTTAAAATGACTTACACAGAAGTAGACAATTGAAATATTATAAGAATTATAATAGAGTAAAATTATTCTCCATGCTTCTATTGGTTACCACAGTTACCCTTTAACTTGAACTAACGACGCATGTCCATCTCATATTTGTAAATGTAGTCTTGTTCTGTATTATCGTCATTATCATCGTCATAAAGTTAAATAAATTGGTTAGTTTCAGGTTAGGAATTAATTTAGAGATTTTTTTTTAGTTTGACAAGACAGAAAGGAAGTAACTTTCTTTTTAAAGTAGAAGAATTTTGTTATTTACAATTTTAATTATTATTAGTCACATTAAATAACATTTATTAAACGACAACAGGATGAATGTGGTACAAATGTGATACTACTCATAACAATAACTTTAAAACGAAGAGTACCATCGATGACATGAAATACATTAAATGAATAATCATTGTCACCAAGTTTTATAAAAGGACTTTTTAAATATTGTGTTACTTTGAGTCCCGATTAAGGCTTGATTAACTAATCAGGCGATTAGACTGTGATTATATGTACATTTTAAAATAAATCAGTATTATGTACAGTCTAATCGCCTGATAAGTTAATCAAGCTTTAACCGAGACTCAAAGTACCGGGCAACTTCTTTGAAAGACTACTGATGATTAGTGACAAATGTAACAATAACAAAACTATAAGACTTAAATTATCGCTGCGTGGTAAGTATGGTAACAGGAAATTTCAATTGGGAGTAAACAGGCTGTTAACTTACCAAGTACTTATTGTCGGCAAGATCAGGACGATCAAAATAAGTTTCCTTTAACTTTTCACATACTTGTTTGCTAATATCGCTCCCACGCTGCAAGCCTATGTAGTGAGGAATGGTGTCTTCCAAGTTTGGCAGACCTACTGTGAATGGTAACTTCCGTGAGGTTACCAGGACAGTCCACGCAGGTAGAAACAGCCCTTCTCCTGAGTTATAACCGATGATTAATGGAACTTGATTGTAATTTCCAGACATGAGTATGTCTATCGGCTCTTCCGTGATAAAAGCTGTGTCACTGGGCTTTTCGATAATAGGTCCGAAACATGGTTTGCTTGACAGACCTCCTACCTAAAAAATTGTTCGTACTAACAATTATTAACTAATTGCAAAGATAATTTAGTAGGAGTTATAGTTAATTTTACATTTTTATCTGTCTTTTATGTTTTTATGTATACAGGGTGTGGCGTGTATAGTCTATAAAAATTAAACTACAGCTTTCTGATGACATTTGTAACAGAAAAGGGTTATACGAAAAAGTTTTATCTTCGCGGTGTTTTTTTGGAAATTAAAGTTCATTTATTCAACGAAAATGAAGGCCTACCCTGTGTTATTTATTAAAATCTTTGGAAATGTTTTTATGCCACCCGAGACGCAACCTTATAATTTAAGTCGGTATAATCTAATACTAGTAATATTAAAAGAAGGTTAGGTTACATTGTCAAAAAATGTGTGCAGTCAACTGATTTTGTATTTGTATTGAATTCATTATTCACTTAATTATTAAATATAAAAAATAGGAATAGCGAGCCGATTACATTAAAAATGAGGATCTTATTTCTTACTTTGCTTAATTTTTTAGTTTGAGCGCAAACTAATTTTACAATGAACCGAGAAAACAATGCATTTACTATTTCCGAATATGTCGATATGGTATTATTATATGGTTCAGCCGGAGAAAATGCGCTCGCGGTGACTAGGTTGTACCGGGAACGATGGCCACAACGTCACCCCCCATGTGCAAACACAATCCTACAGTGCGTTCAGCGGCTGCGAGATACGGGAAGTATTATTCCTCGAGGAGAAGGCCGTGGTCAGCAAGTGAACCTTAATGTTGAAGAGGCAGTGTGGGAAAATCTTGACCCCACAATTAGTACTCGACGACTCGCCCTCATCTAGTGCCGTACAACGCACCTTAAGGCGCCAGCTGTTGCACCCCTATCATCTGCAAACAGTTCAACAGATTTTACTCCAGGATTGTGATCAACGAATGCGTTTTTGAAGATGGTTTTTACAGCAATGTGCCAATCAAGGATGCCAATTAAGTATACTTGAAGCGGCTGACACAATTACAACATTTTCTCTAGAAATGGTAAGTTTTATTTCATTTTGTTCCATATTTAAATGGAGTATTAGTGCACGCAGTTGGCAACTACAGATGCTTGTAGTAACAACAATGCATTTAAGATAGCAATTACTATTAATTATTATAATAAGAAAATATCAGTTTTGATTTTAAATATCTATAATTTACGAAAAAAAAACGCAAAAATAGAACTTTTTCGTCTACGACTTTTCTATTACAAATATCGTTAGGAAGCTGTAGTTTAATTTTTATAGATTATACACGACACACTATATATAGAGTGAACCTTAAATAAGTTTAAATATATTTTAAATAATTGTAAAGTTTATGAAGTATAAAATGTAATTAATCAAAAAGGTTAATAAAAAAGTTAAAATTTGAAATAGCCCTGTATGATTTTTTAATAGAAAGCTTATTACTGTGTCGTTTATTAGAAAGACTATTGGGAATTAGAAGCAATACAAGAGTTTACAAAATACGTTATCATCAAAATTATAAGAGTTTATTGTATTTGTGACACATTTTTGCAACCGAACTATTTATACTCCCGATTAGGTTAAACAATTTATAAGAGACAAAAATGTTATTGTTAAAAAATGGTCTTTCGTGGGTCAAATATTGTCTGTGAAACAAAGTGTGACATGATTTCAGGTCCGTAAAATCTAGCCTCGAAAATATAAAATTATCTGATATTATTCACTGGTAGATCACCATTTCGGAATATATTGGTGTTCTATGCCTCAAAATACCCCCAAACCTCAAAATATGTTAAAATACCTGGAATTACTTCAAAATAGTAAACTTTAAAATATCGAGTAAATAAATAAGAAGTTCAAAGACCGAAAGTAGAAGGTCAATATTCTTAGGCACCAGGATGACATTGACCTTTGGTGCAGTGCCAGTAACATTTTGTTGTTTCCAAAACTGTCTTAAAGTATTCTGTTTTATTTTCTAATGGTTTTTAGTTATTTAGTAACTCGTAAAGGTAACTTGAAGTATTTCCTCTTATTCTTAAACATTTTTGACACAAAACTTATATTTAACATACTTATTAATATATTTACCCCTTGAACCCTTCCTTGAGCCTGGTATAGTAATTCTACAGGCACTTGCCTCAGTATATCCAACGCCTCTTTGTCACTGCTTACATCATGACCTAACACCTTTGCTAGGGCTACCATCATATGCTGTGCCTTGCCGAAAAAGTTCATCAAAGCTGTCCCGCTTTGCAATATCGCCCTGTGAAATAGTCCCTTCATTCTGGAATATAGAATCAGGTAGTGCACCGAAAGTGACCCTGCGCTTTCTCCGAAAATCGTCACGTTATTGGGATCGCCGTTGAAATTTCTGATGTTTTCCTGCACCCACTGAAGGGCCATGATTTGGTCTTTTAGCCCAGCATTTCCCGGCACCCCTAGAGTATCGTCGTCGGAACATAGGAACCCCAAGACACCCAGACGATAGTTAGGTACTACAAGGACGATGTCCTGGGTCAGTAGGAATTCTGGTCCGTACATGTCGGTTTTGTTCGATCCCGTAAAAAAACCTCCACCGTAGATAAAAACCATCACGGGTTTCAGCTCGGTCTTTGAATCGGTAAGCTGGATAAACAAAGTTAATACTTTAATATTGTACTACTTAAGCCTCAGTTACGTGGTGTTCGTTTTTGTGATAGTTGCTATGATGATAACTATCACAAAAACTATCATCGGGTAACTTGGTAGTTGCTATCACTTTTATTTGACTATATACTCTTTTAAGATTATGTTGGTCTCAATTTTGTGTTAACATAATACAGATCTACACAAGTATGATTGTGCACCATCTGCCCTACTATAAAATAAATAAATTATGACCGTTTGCACCGTTAAGTTAATAAGCATTTTGTATTGCACCATACGTTAAGATCTTCTTAAGTATGGAAACAGATTCTTAAATTTAAGCCTCAGTTTGACAGCGATTTATGAAGTTCTTTATTCAAACATATATCGACAGTTAGAACATGAAATTTCGAGTTTAAATTAAAAATTTGGAGTTGGAAGTTGAAATTTAGTTTTAAACGAGAAATTTTGAGAATGAATTTAAAATATTTGAGTTTGAACGTAATATTGAGAGTTAGAACACGAAATGTCCAGTTTGAATTCAAAATTTGGAGTTTGAAGTGTAAAATTTTGAGGTTGAATTTGAAATTTTAAGTTTGAACTCGATATCGATAGTTAGAAAATGAAATATCCAGTTTAAATTCAAAATTTGGAGTTGGAAGTTGAAATTTAGTTTTAAATGAGAAGTGTTGAGAATGAATTTAAAATATTTGAGTTTGAACGTAATATTGAGAGTTAGAACACGAAATGTCCAGTTTGAATTCAAAATTTGGAGTTTGAAGTGTAAAATTTTGAGGTTGAATTTGAAATTTTAAGTTTGAACTCGATATCGATAGTTAGAAAATGAAATATCCAGTTTAAATTCAAAATTTGGAGTTGGAAGTTGAAATTTAGTTTTAAATGAGAAGTGTTGAGAATGAATTTAAAATATTTGAGTTTGAACGTAATATTGAGAGTTAGAACACGAAATGTCCAGTTTGAATTCAAAATTTGGAGTTTGAAGTGTAAAATTTTGAGGTTGAATTTGAAATTTTAAGTTTGAACTCGATATCGATAGTTAGAAAATGAAATATCCAGTTTAAATTCAAAATTTGGAGTTGGAAGTTGAAATTTAGTTTTAAATGAGAAGTGTTGAGAATGAATTTAAAATATTTGAGTTTGAACGTAATATTGAGAGTTAGAACACGAAATGTCCAGTTTGAATTCAAAATTTGGAGTTTGAAGTGTAAAATTTTGAGGTTGAATTTGAAATTTTAAGTTTGAACTCGATATCGATAGTTAGAAAATGAAATATCCAGTTTAAATTCAAAATTTGGAGTTGGAAGTTGAAATTTAGTTTTAAATGAGAAGTGTTGAGAATGAATTTAAAATATTTGAGTTTGAACGTAATATTGAGAGTTAGAACACGAAATGTCCAGTTTGAATTCAAAATTTGGAGTTTGAAGTGTAAAATTTTGAGGTTGAATTTGAAATTTTAAGTTTGAACTCGATATCGATAGTTAGAAAATGAAATATCCAGTTTAAATTCAAAATTTGGAGTTGGAAGTTGAAATTTAGTTTTAAATGAGAAGTGTTGAGAATGAATTTAAAATATTTGAGTTTGAACGTAATATTGAGAGTTAGAACACGAAATGTCCAGTTTGAATTCAAAATTTGGAGTTTGAAGTGTAAAATTTTGAGGTTGAATTTGAAATTTTAAGTTTGAACTCGATATCGAGATTTAGAACATGAAATTTCCAGTTTAAATTCAAAATTTGTAGTTGCAACGTGAAATTGAGAGTTTACAATATGGAATTTTGAGATTTAATTTGAAATTTTTGGTTTCAACTAGATGTTGAAAGTTGTTGTCGAGTTTGATTTCAAAGCTTGGAGTTTGAAACGTCAAATTTTGAGTTGAATTCAAAATTTTAAGTTTGAATTCGATATCAACGCTTAGAACATGAAATTTCGAGTTTAAAATTCAATATTTGGAGTTGGAACTTGAAATTGAGAGTTTTAAATGAAAAATTTTAAGAGTGAACGTGATATTGAGAGTTAGAACACAAAATATCGAGTTTCAATTCAAATTTTGGAGTTTGAAATGTGAAATTTTGAGGTTGAATTTTAAAATTTATGTTTGAACTCGATATCGAGAGTTAGAACATGAAATTTCCAGTTTAAATCCAAAATTTGGAGTTACAACGTAAAATTGAGAGTTTGCAACATGGAATTTTGCGATTTAATTTGATATTTTGAGTTTCAACTTGACGTTGAGAGTTGGAACATGAAATTTCGAGTTTGAATAGAAAATTTTGAGGCTGATTTTCATAAGTCCGTGTAACAAACTGAAGAAAATCAGAAAGAACTAAAATACCTAACATAAATTAATGAAAGTTCCTAGATTTCTGCGTTGTTGCCAATACATAGACGTACTTTGCTAAGTATAGTTTATGATCCGTTGGTGTAATGCTCTAAAAAAAATAAGTATAACTTAATTTTAAGAACAACTTTATTAAGTTGTTCTTAGGATAATGTCGGTGCAAACGGGGATTAACGTTACCTGTTAAGTACTTACGCTTTTCGTAAAAACATTTAGATTCAAACAGTCCTCAGAACCGCCAAAGGATCTGAACAATAGATCATGTCCATAACAGTTGTCACCATCCTTCGTTGCATCCTTTATTCCATCCCATGGTTCGGCTGGTAAAGGATCCTGTGAGAAAATATACTGTTAGTCTTTTTTGTATAATAATACAGTTTAAGAACTTGTCAAACTTTATTTCGGAAAGTACTGAATCAGAAAATTTGGCAACCTAGCAAAGGTAGTAGGGCCAACACAGCTAAAGTATTTAGAACTGTATGGCACATCCGGTTATACCGAAAGTCAACATTAACTTTCTTAGATTAAATGGGACTCCCTATATATTATTGCATTTTCGGATTCTATGTGAAATTTTACTTTCACTTTATTAAATATTCCCTATACCTAGGAGTTATAGATTTTGAAATTAATTTTTAAAGAAAACATTTGACAGATGCAAGGGTTCGCGGAGATGCTAGTAACTCTTTTCAGGCTAATGAACTCTGCTATCAGGTTATTGCTAATTTTTCTCACGCTCATGAACAGTTAATGGAAAAAAAGAAGGTTAAGGTTAAACGTAACTGCCATAATAACTGTTTCTTTTTGTTATCCTTCATTCCACTGATAAAGATAAGTTGATTACTTTCCATTTTATATCTAACATTTAAGTATAACAGTTGAACTTCGATATAATCATGAGACTATTACTTTTTATAACAAATCGGCCCATTCAGTTGATTTGTTATTTAATATGACATACTTGCTTGTTACAATTACTTGCAAAAAAAACAAATTACACCATTTATTAATTTTGGTAGAAATAATAGACGTTTCCTCCTTCGAGGATGATTAAATTATAAATCAAATAACTTTTAGAAAAGATGTAAGTATTTTAATTTATTTATTGATGTATTTCGACTAATCCTGCTTTAAGTTCAGATATAGGTAATAATATTTGGTGCAGATATATCGTCGCAAGAGAAACCGTTTGTTTATTGTTGATGAAATAGAATGTTAGAATGTTTTTATAGCTACAAATTGTGGCAAATCAGTCCCTTTATATAAAACGATTATTGTGAAATATGTTACTAAGGTTATAAATATAAAATAATAGGGTCCTTGCCCCAGCATAACTCTGATTCTGTTAATAGTCTTTCAAGAAGTATCTTCTGCGCGATGTCATAAGAATAGTAAATAGTTCTAAATATTGCGAGAATTTCTGCGTACATTTTTAATAAAAAAAATTTCCCTACCTTAAACCTCAATTCTCCAAGTGGCGGCTTGGCAAACGGCACCCCAAGGAACGAAATAATTGGTCCCCCATCAATGTCAGTGCCAATGAAGCCTTTCAATTGGCCCTGTTTGGTTGAAACTATCGGTTCAGCCATATAATTTGTTGGTGTTACTCAATAAAATGTTTTATCTGTTACACCTGTTGAAATAACACTGTCGTGGTTATTTACGAGCTGCCAAAGCACATATTTATCTCGTCTCAGTTGTTATCGCAAGTAGATACCATAAGCGTGAGTGGGCAATTAATTGGAATATTAATTCAACGACGAAGTGCATGTTGCATACCTTGATTGGTTTACAATACAGATGATTTCTAATTTCGGTTTTTTCAACTGAATTTAAAGATTTGAGACCTATTCCTGTGTTGCCCATATTATCTAAAGTTTTGGAGAGAGTAATGGATAATCAAATTCGAAATCATCTTAACAATAACGAAATAGTTCCAGTGTTCCAGTCGTTAGGAAAAATCACAGTTGTTTAACTGCTCTTCTTCACATAACTGATGAGATTATAGGTCAGATTGACAGGCTGAATAATAGGTCATGCCCATAACAATTGTTGCCGTCCTTCGTTGCATCCTTTATCCCATGCCATGGATTGGCTGGTAATGGATCCTGGAAAATATAACTTTAGCGTGTTTGGTAGCACTAGATGGCGATACTTTCGTCGTCCTTGTCTTTTTTGTAAAATTCTCTATACATATTATATCTAATTATATTGTATAAATAAGCTCTTGCTGGTCTTGAAATGCCATAAATGTGTCTTAGAAAAAAAAAACAAAATTCTAGCGGTTCTTCAAGGATGATTGTGAATTTTTTTGTCAATTACTCAAGAACAGTGGAAGATTAGGTTTCAAACTTTGTGCAGTGCGATTTTCTCATAATATGTAAAATTAAAAATTTGATCAGCATTGTCGGAATTAAAGGGATTTTGAGAGATTTTAAATGTCTCTCTATCACTTCTTATTTTTCATTTATTATATATAGTTAAATTTCTGCAATTCTCTATGAATACCTATTATAAACTAATGCAAAAAATTAAAGGGTCAAAAGAATTTCCGAAATTTTTTCGAGATTTTTGACAGGTGAAAAATGGTAACAGGAATTAAAAAACAGCATTTTCAAGCTCTAAGATTCTAGTTTTTAGATCCTTCGGTCGAAATTTTTTAGGAGCTACGGTTATCAAGCAATTCTAAGAAATAGTGCGACAAAATAATTTTGCAATTTTTTTTTCTTCCGAGTCCATGGACTTTAATATTATAAATTACCCTTTTTTCCTGTTTTTTAAAATTCGTATAAAAGATGAAAAAAATTTTTTTTCCGAAAAGTTGCGGCAGCATGGTATAGGAAATTTAGTCCAGTTTTCGAAACTCCCTTCAATTCTCTGTACGACCATTTGTCGTCGAGATATCGATGATTGAAGACAAACTGATCCTTTTCCATATTTCGATGAAAAATGGTCGTATCGAAATTTAAAAAAAAAGGAAATTGAAACTGAATACACAAGCTACCTGGTCTATGCCATGGCTTAGCTGAATAAAATTTTTCCAAGTCCGTGGATTCAGAAGAGAAAAAAATTTGCAAAATTTTTTTGCCGCGCTATTTCTTAGAATTGCTTGATAACCGTAGCTCCTAAAAAATTTCGAACGAAAGATCTAAAAACTAGAATCTTAGAGCTTCAAAATGCTTTTTTTTAATTCCCGTTACAACCATTTTTCATCTAGATACAGTCGGTCAAAAATCACGTACAAATTTCGGAAATTCTTACACAATATTCTAAATTTTGCATAAATTTTTTTTTCGAGTAAATGATCTAGATTCTAGATCCTACATGATAAATAATTTAAGTTATATGAAAATGCCTTTACCACGTAGGGTTGCTACTTTTTCAACACATTTTAATATTGTGTTTGTTTCATGAATTATTGAAACATATTTTAAATATTGTTTTAAAATTATTATTTATGGCTCTGAAGAGGACTTTAAATAAAATTAAAGCCCTAGCTTAGTCACAAAGTCAAGCCCCTTGTTTCCTTACCCTATTCCGACTATACATTACTACTATTATACATATAATCAAATTAAAAATAAGTTCATATCGGCAATAATCGAGTACTTTGATCAAACTTAGTATATTATTATCAACATGCTTTATCTTTAATCTCATGTAACACCTTCATTATTTAATTAAATAGAGCAACATATATTCGTTGGTAGAACACAACAGAATTTATATAAAAGTATCGTCTAAAAATGGTATTTAAACGTCCCAACTTACTAACGTAATCATAATTAATTCTAAACTGAGTCTACAAAAATTCTTCTAAACGAAAATAACATAACTTATTTTGTTATCAGGTTATTGTTGATGTTTGGCACGCCCATGAAAAATTAATGAAAGAAATATAAGGTTAAGGTTAAACGTAATTGCCATGATAACTGATTTTTTTTGTTTTGTTTTGATCTACTGATAAAATAAGTGTATATTAGATAAGTTGATGACTTTCCATTTTGTATCTAAAATATAAGTAAAACAATCGAACTTCAATATAATAATGAGTCATGTTTTATAACAAACTAGCCTAGCCAGATGATTTGATATTTAATATATCATGATTACTTGCAAAAAAAACAAATTATTAAATTTATTAATTTTAGTAAAAATAATAATTGCTATCTCCTGCAAGGATGATTAAATTTTAAAAATAACTTTTAGAATAGATATGATTCATTTATCTATACTTAAGTGTTTTTTGACTAATTCTGCTTTAAGTGCAAATATAATATTTAGTACAGATACAGTATTGCAAGAGAATTCTTTTTGCTTATTATACCAGTGGCTTGATTTTCAAAAAGTAGAGGGTCTATCAGTCCCTTTATTTTCAAAGATGTTTTGTTATGTGGAACGATAGTTATGAAATATGTTTCTAAAGGTATAAATACAAAATAATAAGGTCCTTGTCACAGCATAGCATAACTGTGATTGTGTTAATAGACTAATAACTTAAAAAATATATATTTTGCGTGATGGCATAATAATATCGAAACAGTACTAAATATTGAGAGAATGTATGTGTAAAAATTTTTCCTTACCTTAAACCTAAGTTCTCCAAGTGACGGCTTTGCGAACGGTATTCCTAGAAACGAAATGATTCGCCCCCCATCAATGTCAGTGCCAATGAAGCCTTCACGTGGCCTTGCTTGGTTGATACTATCGGCGCAACCATATTATTTGTTACTGTTAATTAATACAATGTTTTTTTCTGCAAACACCTAAAACTGTTGAAATATTACCCGCGTTGTTTACGAGCTGTCAAAATATTTACGTGTGAAATTTATCTCGTCCAATTAAGGTGTTATCGCTAGTCGAACCACAGGCGTGGGCAGAAAGGGAGCGACTGCAACCGGTATTTTTTTGCCAAGTATGGGTTCAACCACGAAGTGCATGAACTTGGTGTTACTTTATTCTTCCAAAATACGTAAATCGAGAATTGTGTGATAATTTTTAATGTTATCAAGTCGATAGTCAAATAAAAATTCAGAGACAATTTTATCTTTTATTTGATATCCTAAAAAGTGTGTTAGTGTGTCTACTAGGGCAAAACATTCTTTCGTTGCTGCTGGTAGAGAACGACCTTGATTTTAGGCGTCTTCTGTATTGCGAGTGGTTTGTGAAAGAAATAATGCGTCGGTTTCAAATCTACAATCGAGTATGTCTTAAAAATTTAGAAAAATCTGAATTTATTCGTCAGGATAATAACATTTTTGTATAAGAGTTCACAAAACAATATCAAGAAAAATTTATCAAATTGGAGAACTTCGAAATTTCGATGTCTTCGCCTAATTTAATATTTGTTTGATTTCAGATTTTTCGCTTGTTCCTTGTGTATAAGATACCACAAAGAAATATTAAAAAAAGTTATCACAATGAAGAATTGAGTCTGTGTGAATATTGAATATTAAGGGGTTCAAATGGGTCAAAATGCTAAATTTAAACAAAATAAACCAAGAAGTTCATAAAACCCATAATGTCATGTAAACCCCAAACCCACAAAGAGGTTGAATATGGCTACTCTATAGAAGTGTCATCAGCAAAAAGTATGATAAATAGACACGTAGTACACTGAAAAAAATATTCCTACAAATTTCACTCAATTTTACTCAATAATGTATCAGTTTCAGTCCACACTCAATTGAAAGAAATTTTCACTCTACTAGTATGAGTACAACTTAGTGAAAATGTATGAGTTGTACTCAACTTCGAGTTACTGCTAACTATCAATTGAGTGACTTTTGACTCTACTCGTATTCTGAATATATAAAACCAATTTAGAGTAACTTTTTACTCAGACTTGGTTTACATTATCTTTAAATTTTAATTTAAATATTATTGTATTAGAGGAAATAGTCAAAAGAAAAAAGTTTGTAAAATTCGAATAGATCTTGCTTTCCTCTATCGATTAAAAAAAATCATCTCTTTATCTGTTGCAGAAGCTGCTTCACTCACATAGTCCTTCCACTCCTCACTCTTTGACTCTCTGCTCAATTCCTGTTAAATGTATCAAACTTTTTTGCATCAGAACAGTTAATACATTTCCGATTGAAACAAATTTTCATAGTTATAAAGTCTTTGCTTCAAACAATCAATATCACTTTTGATTGTGATTGTACAGTACGTTGTTTTTGCCGTAAACTCACTTCAACTTTGAGCTTTCATATCTCGATGACGATTCATCGTATCCACAAGATCAAAAGTGGATTTTGTTCGTCAATCCTTCCTCTACTTGATCCTATAATTACATTTAAAGAATATGGAAATACGGTAGCTCCACCTCTAAATGTTTATTTTAAAGTGATTTTTCGAAGAAATTTTAAAAAAATTCTAATTGTTCTAAAAAGGATAAAATCGGAAATTTTTAAATGGAGATTGATAGTTGAGACTCCAAAAGGTATGTATAAAAATTGTGAGCTCAAAATAGTCATTGGTTTTACCGTGAGAGAATTGAAAAATAAGTATAATTCAGTATTTTCTTAATTAACAATCGAATTGTGCGAAATCTACGGGCCGATTTCGATGAAAAAATTTCTGCAATACTGCCATATCATGAAGTACTCAGAATCATACTTTTTATATGGCTGCTCTAAAGTCAAGGTCCAAAATAAATTCATGAAGAAAACATCTTTTTTTACGAATTTTTTTTTCGGTCCATACTGTATTGCAGCAACCATAATGCTCATAAAAATTTCGGACCACTTTTATTTTCAATAGAATCTCAAAACGAAACTTTTTTTCCTTTGACTATTTTCTTTAATGTCAATATTCTCCGAGTTATACATGAAAGAAGGGAGAAAAATGCGTCCTTTTGAATTTTTGATAATATTTTATTGCGCTAACAATTATGCACAACTTTTTTAGCGGGTGCATATTACAAATATACATAATATTTATAACTATTTCCAACAAAAATTAGCGTTACTATATGAAACATCCTACTTTTAAAACAGATACCGACTGGGCTAGTGTGAGATGTGATGTTTACACCATTCAAAGGGTAAAGCATACAAATGTGCATATGTTTAGCGAAACGGTTGTCAATGTCACCAACACTTCCGACAGGCGTATCTAAACATCGTGCTATCCTACAAAAAATTGGCTGTATCTGGATTTAGCTGATAGATTTCCTTCCACAATGGTATTGTCTTTGGTTCAGGATCAACTCCAGCAGTGAGGTCTGTTCCAATGTCAATAAAATTAAGCTGTCCTTGTTTCACTGGTTTCCATATTATTCCAAGTTCATTCGCATCAGGCGTAGGATTTCCGTACTTGGCGAAATTCGTCCACAACTTCACAAATCTTCTCAGTGATATTTCCTCGATACTACCTGGTTGAATCGGAGGAGTCAATATAGCTTTAAAGAGGTACCCAAGGTCGTCAGCGTGGCATGCACCTGAGTAAGACAATTTATTTTTAATATATAATATTGTTTGGCGTGTCAGTAACGATAGCAACAGTTTTAATAAACAGTTAGGTAACAATTCTGTTAAGAAATCACGCGTTTTTGTAAGTCTTGAGTTGGTGGCAGTTTTTTCAATAATGTTATCATTGCAATTGAATAAAAACATAAAACATGTTGTTTTGAAATTTGATGAATATGTGTAAAAGTCAACTTTTAATGACAGTTTTCGAAAAAATATATAAATTAAGGTAGGGAATAAATCCACATTTGTAACTATTTACCTGGAGCAGTTATTTTCGTGAAATGCTTAATAACATTCAACTCAGCCTCCAAAGACATTCTGTATAGATAAATTGGATTCTGCGACGTTTCCAAGTGATTCTTCACTGTAGCTAATATTCCCGCTACAAATAGGGAGTCTGATGTCAGCTAAAAGAATTATAGTTATTTATTAGTTAGTGTTTTAAGTAGCATTTTATTCCGAAAATGATGGCAATAATGCTACAAGGTTTGTTATTAACGGAAAGGAAATTAAATGTGATAAAACAAAAAAACGAAATGTCTATTGCTACAAAAGTAAATGTTAATGTTAATAAGTAAGTAAATTAAATTTAATTTATTAAAGGTTTATTATATTTTTCATTATTCTTCTAGTGAAATAAAGTTACTTTATTCCACTAGTGGAAGAACACGACTACTAAATATTTTTGTTGAAGTTTTTTTTGAAATGTTTCGAAAAACATGGTGTGTTAAGAAACAGATATACGACTCGCACAAATGAAGTCGCTGATGGCTCAGTGTAGATGCTCTTTCCCTTCCAACCGCGGGTCCCGGGTTCGAATCCGGTCTAGGAAAATTCACTTTTTTAATTTTTTTTTTATATTATACTGACTTGAAAATATTTAGTGGTTTACACGATAAAATTTTAAAAACGGATTGTTTGTAGCAGAACAATATAATATTATAGCTAAATTAAGGAAGCATCTGACAGGTCGAGCAAACAGACGTATAATGGGTACATTATACAATAGTCGTGGATAAATATTTTTAACCAATTACTGTTTAAATTGTACTTTTAAATTTTATAATTTTTAGTGAACAAATAAATTAGGTTTATTATTTATTCATTATTCTACTAGTGAAATGAAGTTACTTTATTCCACTAGTGGATAACGTATCACTATAGACGGTTCATATGTGTGGATTATAGGTGATCGTGGTTAAATATTTTTAATCAAATACGTACTTTTCAATTTTATAATTTTTAATAACAAACTTGTGGTTATAAATTTTTAAAGATAAAGGTTTTTAATCGTTTAGGTGTAGAAATGGTTATTTTAATAAAACATTTTATATGGAATGTGGAGAAACACGATATACAAAAACCTTTTTTACATACAGTGTAAATGTTTGTCATATTTTATAATTAATGCGACTATTTACTATTTAAGTGATTTTTGTTCACTTTTTCTTGTACTGCATTTGTAAAGTTTGCTCTTCTCTGCTCACTCTGCTCTTTAATTGGATTCTTCCCATTGTGCAAATGTAATTTAAAAAATATGTAACAATTTTCCAACTTACCATATGCGTATTGTCGATAACATCGGGACCTTGAAAATAAGTTTTCTCCAGTTTTTGACACACCTGTTTGCTAATATCGCTTCCACGTTCCAATCCTATCTGCCATGGAATGATGTCTTCGAAGCACGGTGGGAACTTATTTTCAACTGTTCCCTGCATTGAAGCAAACGTGTCGTACGTCGCCAGTAGCAATCCCTCTCTCGAGGTGTAACCGATCATTAAAGGAACTTTGTTGTAGTTTCCAGACCTGATTATGTCGATGGGTGTTTCCGTGATAAAAGCTGTATCGTTGGGTTTTTCGACGACTGGTGCGAAAAAAGGCTTGTCTGACGGTATTCTTTCCTAAAAATCATTTTTTATTAATTAATTAATATATTCTTCGATTTTAGTAAGTAGTAGTAAATTAGTACATGAAAAATTTTACTTTTAAGCGAAAGAGACGCTCGATATCTTCGCTACTGGAACACGTATTTACTACCTGATTCATTTTTACTTTACCTTTAATTAAATTAATATTTCGACTAACTGTCATCATTAATCATCAATTTTTAGAGGTAGTTTAGAAAATGTGAAATATATTTTCAAATTTTAATACTTTGTATCTCGGGTACTATCGACCATGTTTTATAACTTTTTGGCAAAAAATCACTCAAAAAATCGCTCTTTAACGTTTGTCGACGTACTGAAATAGCACCATGTGCAGCTGTAGACAATAAAATGTTTTCATCGCTTACTATTCAGTGCAAATATGGCTATGATGTTTAACCTCTATCCGAGCCTGATGGTTTGTTTCAGTTTTATATCATGTTCTTTTATTTTGCTGTACTTTTAGCTGAAATAGCTAAAATTGCAACCGTTCATTACTTCAGATTGCAAATATTTTATTGTCCACAGCTGTACATATATCTAATGGTCGTCTTATACTTACCTTGTCCAGTTCTTCTTGTGCCTCTAACAATAGTTTTAAGGGAGCTTCTCTCAGTATATCCAACGCCTCTCTGTCGCTATTTACGTAGTGACCCATCTTCTTCGCTAGGGCTACCATCACCTGCTGTCCGTGTGCCCAGGAGTTCAAAGCGGTCCCGCTCTGCAACACCGCCTTGTGAAATAGGCCCTTCGCCCTCGGAGACAGCACCAAGTAGTGAACTGAAGCGCTGCCAGCGCTCTCTCCGAAAATCGTCACATTGTTGGGGTCGCCGTTGAAGTTTCTGATATTTTCCTGCACCCACTGGAGGGCCAAGAGCTGGTCTTTCAGTCCAGCGTTTCCAGGCACCCCTATAGTAACGTCATCGGAACTTAGAAACCCCAAAGCGCCCAGACGATAGTTTGGTACTACGAGGACGACGTCTTGAGTCAGTAGGAAGTCTGGTCCGTACATATCGGGCTTGTTTGATCCTGATAAGAACCCTCCACCGTGGAGGAACACCATAACTGGTTTTAACGCGGCATTTGAATCTAGAAGCTGGATGAATAGAGACAACACATTAATCAGCATTCGTAATGTAATAAATCCACTACTTAGCATTATTTTTTTCTTTAAAAAAATATGTATCTAATTAATTCCAGAATTTAGTGAGAAATAGAAGTTTCTGACCAAAACTATAGAGAAATTATAATTTCAATAGAAACATAATTTGACATATTGAAGTATCTTCAAGTGTTATCAAAGTTATATGTTACTTACGCTTTTCGTAAACACATTTAGATTCAGACAATCTTCAGAACCAACAACGGTTTTGAGAATTAGATCCTTTGCGTAGCAATTGTTGCCGTCCTGGGTAGCATCCTTTATCCCCTCCCATGGTTCAGGCGGTAAAGGAGCCTATAGTAAAATATAACATTAGTATTTTAATGTCCCAAGGGTACAGATGTAAAGGAATTGGAGGTAAAGATGACCACCACTGAAATTAATCGTTGAATTTTGCTGACATAATCAGTGATTTGTCGGCTACGTACAATACAAGAAAGATATTGTTTCATACTCTTCTCTCCAGCTCATTAGTGTATATCAAAAACAAAAGATTGCTACTGATTGAACCTTGGGGAACCCCTATACTTGAATAGTTATGGAAAATAGATAATTTATTTCCAATCTTTTGTAAAGGACTCTACTCTTATATGCCCCTGATACCATACTTGGTTAGGTTTATTAATAGTTTTTATGGTCGATACAATCAAAGGCTTTACTCAAGTCACAAATATTGCAATAAAACATTCTCCTGTTTCTATATAATTAATTTAGTTTAGAGTGTATATACGGCTGAACTTTTGAGAACAAGGGGAATCGTGACAGGTCCGTAGTTGTCTATAATTTGTGGGTCAATTAAATGATTGAATTAATTATAGTATAATCATACTATTAAATTTATTATGATCAATCGATCATAATAGATTTACGATAAGAACAATTATAAATCATAGAAAATTGCAGATCCCACATAGACATATTATTATTAGGCAGGCCGCATTTGCGCCCAGGAACGACTTATGTTGGTAGGCCCTAACCACCATTCAGTGCAGGAATGAGGGAAACCTGGAAAACCTCATTAATTAGGGGGGTGGTCAAATGCCAACCGGTGTCAATCTCTCACAGTGACCCAAGCCGACATTCTTCCACCCTACCATACCTGCACAGAGGGTGCCAATCCTCCGTACAAGCATAGCTAATCTACGGTCTACCGGCCGCGGGAATCGAACCCGGGCAGAAATTTGCACACGATTTAAGTACTGACGCCTTAACCTGTACGACTATCAACCGATGAATAAGAAAATCTTGAATAACAGAAGACTAAACGTTTTTTTTTTTCGGTGAAATCCAGTATCTGTCCTTATTTTTCACACTAATTTAATACCATCTGGTGAAGGCTCAAACTAATCATGGCGTTGTATTCATGAACAATGTGATTTCCATCTGCCGTTATAAAAACATATGATCACCCGCGAGTGTAGAGAACTATGCTAGTAGGCACGTAGTAGGCATGTTTAGAGTCATTTGTGGAGTATTAATATGGCATAGTGTTTGAAGTATATGTGTGTTATGTTAAATAAATATTAAGGTCTGGATATCTCTTCATTTAAAGTTATTGATAAGTATGAGAAACACCAATAATGACCATATTGAACTTTGGCTAACTTTAGTACGCCAGATTGTATCTTACTATTTACTGTTTCATTTGCACTATATTTTGTTTTCAGTTTAATGTTCTCAAGAAGTGGTCATTGCTCTCGAAATGGTTCAAAGATTCAACCTAAAAATGCACCAGGACTACAGAACTAGGGCAACATTTTCATCCAGAAAAAATCTCCATATAAATGAAAACCAAAGTTAAACTTTTCCCAGAAAATACATGAAGAATGTTTTTCCTTATATTTAAGTCAATTTTATGGAAGAAAATGTATCTTATTTGCCTTAGATAAGTACATATTAATGTTTATTTAATTGATCCTCGCAGTTAAAGAAGTTTTAGGTTAATGCAAGCTTTATGCGATTTTCGAGAATATAAAAACGTATTTGGTAGCTCATTTTTAAATTTAAACATTGAAGGACAGAGACGCAACTAAAAGAAAAAGTGTGTAAAATTAAATATATACTTTATCCTTCAAATAAGTAGGGAAGTTTTTTATATAGATTGCTATATATTTTTTTAATCACATCGTTAATTTAAACCTGCTATACCATGTTTTTCATTGTATTATAATTTTAATTATTATTATTATATTATATTATTATTAATATTTATGTTTTGGCCTTGTTCAAAGCAAAGTGCAAAATATTTAAAATTGGAAAACAATAAACATGCACCATATAATCCTATATTTAGATACTATTAAAGTAAAATGAATGAATTTTGGACTTGTGAACTAAATGACATATGTAATTTCATTCATAGTTATAATTTTATAATATCACGAGATCTAAATATTAATTTAAACATACTTAAGTGGTTTACTATTAGGCTATTAATTATGTCAATGGTATGGAACTACAACGTTGATGGGTTTTTATTGCATGAATCGTTCAAATGGTTATTTATAATGAAGAGTGCTATTAAATTAGAGGGTGGAAATTGGAGATAGAGGTGAAAATGCACCCCTTTCAGTTTTTTAATTATAGCTCGAAAACGAAGCAAAATTTCGCTATAGTTCATAGGAAAAATTATTTAGAAAATTTTATGCAAAAAATCGTTAAAAAACAATTTTAAAGAAAACAAAAAATAAGATTTTTTTATTTTTTTTTACTTTTTTATTAAAATAATTTAGTAAAAACTTGAGAATTTAAGTACAATAAAGTTTATTAATAATGTATATACAGTGTGTCCACGGATGGAGTTGACAAAAGGAGAAACTCTTTTGTTTTTTACTGTATCGAAAAATGTCAGTCTTTATAAAAAGTACTGCCCCTCTAAGAAATAGGACTGTCATACAAACATCTTAGATTAGATGTACAGGGTGCTCATAAATTAAAAAGAACATTAAAATACTCAAGAAAGAAGTACCATTATTTATTATTTTACACAACATTCTTATAGAACAAATCTGTTTATTACATACAAATTTTAAAATAAATCATTTTTGAGGTGGGAAGTAGCTATAAATATAGAGTAAAATTCAGAATTTTTATTTTAAAATTTGTATTAGGACATTATTTGAGGTTATAAACAGACTTGTTTTACAAAAATGTTGTGTAAAATAATAAATAATGGTACTTCTCTCCTGAGTATTTTCGTGTTTTTTTAATTTATGAGCACCCTGTATATCTAATCTAAGATGTTTGTATGACAGTCTCATTTTTTCGAGGGGCAGAACTTTTTATAAAGAGTGACATTTTTCGATAGTCAAAAACAAAACAGTTTCTCCTCTTGTCAACTCCATCCGTGGACACACTATATACATTAATAAATTTTATTATACTTAAATTCTCAATTTTTTTTCTAAATTATTTTATTAAAAAAGTAAAAAATATCAAAAATCTTATTTTTTGCTTTTTTAAAAAATTGTTTATTAACGATTTTTTGCATAGAATTTTCCTTTTACATTTTTTAAATAAGCCATTTCGATGATAAATTCAATTCTCTACAAAATGTTTCGTATGAACTATACCGAAATTTTACTTCGTTTTCGTGGTATATTTAAAAAACTGGAAATGTGTATTTTCACACCTATCTTCAATTTCAGCCCTCTAATTTAATAGCACCCCGCGGTTTTTTCATTTTTAATGGCCCTTCGAACAAGTCATGTGATGAAAATCCTGGAAAGTCTTATTTCCTTCCTTTTTTTGCAAAAAGTGAGAATTAAAACATATAAGGATAAACGCGACGAAAATCGAAAAATTGACTAAGTTTGAGCGGCCATATATCAGTCAATTTTTATCCAAAAATCCATCTTGTTTTGAAGGAAATTTTATATATTTTTATTCTATGAAGCAATGCCGATACCTATCTCTGCTCAGAAAATAGTTATTTGCATAAAAGTAAAAAAAAAACAAAAAATTGAATTTTTTGCATTTTTTTATTAAATTGTTTTTAATATATTTACAGTAAGTAAATTTTTTAAATAAGCTATTTCGATAGAAAATCTCATTATCTACAAAATTTTTCCTATGCAATACCCTCAAATTTTGCTTCGTTTTCGAGATATACTCAAAAAACCGTAAGGGTTGTATTTTCACCCCTATCTCCAATTTCCACCCTCTAATTTAATAGTACTCCGCGGTTTTTTCTTTCTGAATAACCATTTGAACGATTCAGTCAATCCCATCAACGTTATAGTTCCTTAGTACCCTGCTTTTCAAGACATTATCAATAGCCTGTATACCTAATGTTTTGGATAAAAATTGCATCTTACCTTAAACCTCAACTGTCCAACTGGCGGTTTGGCATACGGCACTCCCACGAATGAGACAATTTGACCACCGTCAATGTCAGTTCGAATATAGCCTTTCAGTTTACCTTGTTTGATTGTTACTATCGGTGCATCCATATTATTTGATAACCAATACGACTGATTTTCTAACGTGGTAGAGGTAATACTGTCGTGTTACTTACAAGACATTTATATATCAAATATCTCCTATCGAATTAAGTTGCAATAGTGAGCCATAGGCGTAGAGAGAAGGGGGGCAACTGTGTGACTGTAATTCCAAAACGTAAATCTTTTACAATAAACATTAAACTATTCTATCACACATATATATTAACAACTTAAGGAGTGTTGAATTTATCCAAACACGGTTTCCGAAATTTTTAGTCTGTAAGGAAAACCATCAATACCCTCCTAGAGGACAAGCTATTGCTAGATCTTCGTTAAGAAATTTAAAACGCTTATGTTCCTGGGAGTTTTGGTGTTTCCTTTTGTTTCTCTCAACTTCAGTGTCACCCTGTATAGCCAGCCACTGGATTACATTTTACGTAAGCAATAGAGGGTAAGTGCCTGAAATTGATTCTCTGAACATACAACATTTCCCACGTATTAATTAAAGTATAACGATAATTATAAACTCCTTTTCGAGAATTGCATAGTAAACTCTTTTGAAATCCAGACTGATACTGGACATAACGGTAGATAGGTAATTAAAGAACCCCTCGGGTTACATGAGAAATAATAATTTGAAAATAATTTGTGAATTTTTACTTTAATTTTACATTTAAATCGTAATTAAATAGCTACCAAAATATTGAAAAAATAAGTTTACTTTGGCTTAATATGTAAAAAAAAACTTTTTAATTAACGATAGCTTCATTTATTTATTTAATAATAGTAAAATAATTCCGAAATTGAAATTTAAATTAATATATCGTTTAACAATAATTTTTGTGACATTTTTGTAAATTAAAAAAAAATTTAAGTGTAAAAGATGCATTTTTTCAGGGCTATTCTACGAATTCGTAAATATGCCCATTGTTATTTTTTCGACGAGCTACCCCAGTTTAAAAAAAAAGAAGTTTCTACGATGAATAGAAGCCGAGATATTGCAAAATTTTACAGCGCGCATCAACTTGAACTTTTAATTTCATTTTTCTCGCGCGCGCGACTCGCTTGGATGAGCTTCCCCCATCACCACGCCGGACATTTTACTTAGCAAGTACCTTGTCTTTAAAGGGCTCGAGAGTCGTTAATTTTCCACATTTTTCAATGCAATTGCAATGCAATGCAAATTCAATGTTAATGTCAAAAAGACGGTGATATTTTTTAATAGTTCACTTAATTACGTCTTTAAGATTACAATAACGCTTTCAGAATCATGTTTGGTTGAATATTAACCCCTGTACAGAGGCTTAAAGTTCATAACTTTTGGAGCCTCCGTTATAAACAAATTGAATTGTGTGAAAACTATTGCACCTACTTTTGTCATACTGTTAAAGTATGACAAAACCCTCAACTTATCATAAGTTTTATAAAATTTTAACAATAAATGCGATAGTTATATACAAATTAAAAACACTTTTCTGGTTTTTTTTGCAATAACTTTTTTGTTTATTATCCGATTTTAATTTAACTAGTCTCATTTTATAGATAATTTTATTCCCTACAAGCTGTCTGCGAGTCACTTTTGGCTAAAATTGATGGTTTTCCCTGCAAAGTGAAGAAACTGTTTTCCTCACTTATTTGTTTAAATAGAAAAGTTAGCTAATAAAAGTTATTGACCCACGAAACGACAGATGTCCTGTATTATGTTCCTTTAGACAATTTTACAATAATCTCGCGGATAGGCCTTTTTTCGAGTTAAAATTTAATTTGCTTGGCCTATTTGGTCTGTTTTGAAAAGTGTACCTATATTTCATAGCTGGTTTTGGAAACTATTTCAAATACCTACTTCCCATCATCAAAGCAAAAATTGAGCAACTGTAGACAATCCTTTGTTACCCGTTATTTTTTCACAAAACAATGTCCAGCTTTATGCAACCAACTATATGACTGTGTTATTAACCCAGTATTCACATACAAACAAATAGTCAATGGGAAATGAATTTTAAACTGTGTAATGATTACTAATTATTTTAGTGGTAGAACCATCAACAGTTTTATGTTTCTGCATTATTCCATAGTTCTCTTACTGCATATGCATGTTGTATATATCAGTCATTGATATTAAAACATAATACATCGTTTTAATCTGTGTAGAAGTGGTTGCCTATTACATTTCCTGTAAAACGCATTTTGCAATCTCGTATTGCATATAGGTAGGTACTCGTATTGTTGTTAGAAAATAACATAAATAAAATATTCAATTCGTTCTAGTAGAAAAGTAAATAAATTCACAAATATACTTTAAAACAAAACAATTTCGAAAATATGCCCCTGTTTTAAAGATATACTTTATATTTCAAATTTATATGTTTAAAATGTTTGCCAAACTTATTCTGAAACAAAATATCTTTGATATGTCTAAATAACAACAGCATTTTAAGTTATTTGTTTGACTGGTTGCATACACAACAGGAAAGGTTGACACATCATTAAAGAATTAAAAAGTAATTAAAATTAGTAAATTAAACATCGCTTTTTGTCAGTAGTCTATCTATTAACAACAGAGGCACGTAAAGAGATATTTAATGGTTATTTAAAGTAGGTAATATGTTTTTTCGGGTTGTTGTGCCTTGACCTATGTATCTCGTCGCTGTCAATTACAGAATTACACAGCACTTCCTTAACCTTAGTTCTCGGGCTAAGTTCTGTGGGACCCGCCTTAATCTTAATGTCTGTTCTTGTTGCTGGTAACATCTATTTTAACAAACTTTGAATTTAAAACTAGTCACATAAGGAGATTAAATGCAAACCACGTGTACGATAGTCAAAACTATGAGTTTTCCGTATCGAGTCGAGCGCCATCTCTTGGTCGTTTACTTCTGTTTATTATTAACACAGGAAGGAACGAACGAACCTCTAATGTATTGCAATCTAATAGAGACATTCCAACTAAAACTAAAATGAGAACAAATCTATCCCAAGCGAATAGAATCAATTAATAACCACTTCTAGTGTTACTCAATAGTGATTAAATATGTCAATTCAAGCAGAGAGAAATGCACCGGCTTGTTTCATCTGACACTGATATTGTTCCGAACGACTACTTTATAATTTAATTCCCATTTTAGCTAACCATATGGAACGGGTGAACGAATTATTGCTTTTCTTTGTGAAAGTCCAATGCGGTGCCAATTTCGAGTTAGCCTAATTTATTTTAATTTGGTTTAATTAATAGCTGTAATCAAAAATTGTCTTACTATAAGATTAAAATAATACCCCCTGTGTGTTATGTAATACAACAGAGTAATGAAATGGACCTGCGGGTATTACAGTTCTATGTGATATAAAAAGTAGTAAAAAATGTATATGCACCAGATTTTTATAATTTTACATTAAGCAAGGGGTATTAAAGAGTCGTTATACCATAAAATTAAATGCTAGTGAAACATTTCTAAAAAAATATAGGATTTTAATATACCTACCTAACTTATTCTGTTGGGTAAGAATGTTATTAACGTTCGTAAAATTCTAAAGGTTTAAATGAAATCATGGTAAACTATAAGTAAATTTAGATAAGCGAAATTGGTAAGAGGCGCATAGAAGACCGCTCATCCTTTTCGGTCTGCAAACACCTTCCACAACTGGCGAATTGTGGTAGGCCTCTGAGGTCTGTTTCCGCCCAACATTAACGTATTGGCGGTCAAAACTTTCATAACCTCTTAAATATTGAACCAATCTTATAAACATCTTATTAGGTACTTATAGGTAGGGATGATCCATCTGATATCGTCTTCTTGCAACAACGTTGCTTTCTCCTGACAAAAGTAGACTCTAACCACATCAAGTCTTTCTTGATTCGTATTTGAATAAGAAAAAAAGGAAGAATATACCGTATTTTGTTTACAATTTTACAACTTTTTAATATTACCTGTTTCAACTTTTCTAAGTGTCCCTATCTCCTTTACGTAGTGACAGTAGTATAGTTCAGCTGAAGGTCAACGTCATAGGTCAGTGACATTGAGATTCACAAATTAAATACGTACATTGCTTAAAAAAATAGTAACATAATTGTTTGTGAAAACGTTATATCGTAGAATTTAATGTTAGTGAAACGTTTGTGAAAATAGACTGGATAAAAGGTTAAATAAAATCGAAACTATTTAAGTTTAATCTAGTTAATCTTGAAGGAATAAAAAAATACAAAATGCCTTTTATCAAACTCCTATCAACTAACATGTTTATTTTCAGAACAATTTCTATCCTTCACAGTTTTTTTTAACTTTTCGACAACTTGCTTAAGTAGACTCGCTGTAAACATATAAATAATTAACAATAATTATTAAGAAATACTGTAATTCGCTGTAAATTTAACTAGCAAGTGTCCCAAAATGACGGAACCAAATAATTATTTTTTTACAGTTGAAATTAAAAAAATTCGCTCAAACAAGTCAATTAGTAAATAGAAATTGTCACTTTTCCGCAATATTTTCTATTTTTTCAATTACATTTTGAATAATATTTTGTGTTACATTTCGAACTTCTTCTCCGATACGTTTTTTCAATTCTTCGATGTATGGTCTGTTCACATACACTTTGCTTTTTAAATAACCCTACAAAAAAATCTAGTGGGGTTAAGTCAGGGGAGTGTGATGGCCATTCAAGCGGCCCTCTCCTGCCTATCCATCAATTTGGGAAAACTTCATTAAAGTAATTTCTTACATGGAATCAAAAATGTGAAGGGGCACAATCTTGTTGAAACCAGACATCACCAGTAGGCATATTGTATTCTTTTGGGTTAGGGAAGATTAATCCAGGGCTGGAATCACCTGAAAACGCAAAAATCCAAATAAATGTCGCTTGTCAAATTGCCCTCAAAGAAATAAGGTCCCAGTATGCGATTTCCTACTATTCCAGCCCAAATATTCACTTTTTCCGGCCGTTGTATATGTTTTTCTTGCATCCAATGTGGGTTTTTTTCGGCTCCAAAACCTAGTATTTTGCCTGTTCACGGTTCAGCTTAAGCAAAAAGTTGCTTCGTCAGTAAAAATTATATGATTTTTTAA